AGAATGAAGGTTCCGATCAGGTCCATCTGAAAAACGGACAGGCAGACCCTATCAGTAAGTTCGTGTAAGAGGCCTAACTCCTCACAAATTAGGAGCACAAAGAATGCTTAACACTCACCTCCATACAAACATTATGAAAAGTAGATGGTAAACTGCACTAAAATAGCTAAACACTAACCTAATTGCTGGTTCCATATCCTAAGTTAATTTAGCATTTATTGCCTTAGTAGCCTGAGGTAAAAAAACTCTGTCTATATCTATTTGTTCCTGTAGCCTCTGCCAATGGTAACAGTTGAAATAAATAAAACCAGACTCTACATGTACAGTACATGTATTTCAACTGAGTATTGTTATTTTGCCAGCAGCTGCTGTAAAGCTAGCTGTACACATTATGTGGTTTCCATTACTGTATGCAAACGTAAAGTATAGTAAAGGCAATTTTTTTTCCTTTGTTTTGGATGGCGTACTGGGGAGATTTCTTCTCATTTCCTGAGACACTGACTGCAACAAACAAACTCAATAAAATGGTAAAAGAATAAACCTCAGTGAAAATCTTCCCAAGTCCAGCATGTCCATACCATTTCCATCTGATGGGCTTAAAGTGACCCATTCATTCAAGGCTTAAAAGGCAACAAATAACAGTATGTGCAGAAAGAGGAGACACTATGTTTATATTTTCAGAGGTGCATGTCTTGAAACCCTTTAGCAAGTATTTGAGTCATATACCCATGTCCCCAGCCACACAGAGAGCTTCCTTCTGCTGAATGTCATAGTAGCCTTTCTCAACCTTTTAACCCCAGAGGATCCCTGAAAATAAATTTTAGGTGCTTGGGAACCACTTTTAAAACCAAGTCATCAGGTATCAGTGGAAAAAAAATGCCCCTTACATTGATGGCCAGTGGGATACTTGCTCCTTTACTGTATTGTCAGAATGTTACACCTTCAGGCACCCACAAAGATAATTGCTGCTGGCTCTACCAAGTGGTCTTGGTCCTGAAACTTGGCAAAAATAAGATGCGTGGTTAATCAGCCATAAACTCAAGAGCAACCTCTCAAGGGACCCTGGTTGCGAGTGGCTGTCCTGTAGTAAAGTATGAGCCATTGGATGAAGAGTAGCAGGAATTCACGCAAACCTGAAGTGTTGAGGCGGCTGGGAAGCAGCACTGTGGAGGCTTTAAGGGCTAGTTTATACTAGATGCAGTTCAGTGTGCTTTTTTTTTATTTTGCATCCAAAATGCATGCACAGTGTTTTCCAATGACCTTGGTTCACACTAGTGCAGTCAGTTTCTGACGCAGAAAACAAAAGTAGAACATGCTGCATTTTTTGCTGCATCAAAACTGCACTGGAACTGCGTGTGGTGTGAGCTGTAAGAAAAAACGTATCCAGAGTACATTTTTGTAGTGTGAACTAGCCCTAAAAGATGTTACCAAGTTCAAACATTTCAGGTAGAAGCACAGAAAAATCAAGTATTATACAGCATTTTCATATATACACAGTGAGGAACAGAAGTATTTGAACACCCTGCGATTTTGCAAGTTCCCCCACTTAGAAATCATGGAGGGGTCTGAAATTCACATTGTAGGTGGTGCATTCCCACTCAGAGACAGAATTTAAATAAAAAAAAAATCTCATTGTATGATTTTTAAAGAATTTGTCTTGCACTGCTGAACATAAGTATTTGAAAACCTGAGAAAATCAGGGTTAATATTTGGTACAGAAGCCTTTGTTTGCAATTACAGAGGTCAAACGTTTCCTGTAGTTCTTGACCAGGTTTGCACACACTGCAACAGGGATTTTGGCTCACTCCTCCACACAGATCTCCTCTAGATCTGTCAGGTTTCGGGGCTGTCACTGAGCAACATGGAGTTTCAGCTCCCTCCAAAGATGTTCTATTGGATTTAGGTCTGGAGACTGGCTAGGCCACTCCAGAACCTTGATATGCTTCTTACGAGCCACTCCCTTGGTTATCCTGGCTGTGTGCTTCGGGTCGCTGTCATGTTGGAAGACCCAGCCACGACCCATCTTTAATGCTCTGACTGAAGGAAGGAGGTTGTTGCTCACAATCTCACAATAAATGGTCACATTCATCCTCTCTTTAATACAGTGCAGTCGTCCTGTTCCCTTCACAGAAAAGCACCCCCAGAGCATGATGTTACCACCCCCATGCTTCACAATAGGGATGGTGTTCTTGGAATGCAACTCATCCTTCTTTTTCCTCCAAACACGACGAGTGAAGTTTATACCAAAAAGTTCTACTTTGGTATTATCTGACCACATGACTTTCTCCCATGCCTCCTCTGGATCATCCAGATGGTCATTGGCAAACTACAGACGGGCCTGGACATGTGATGACTTGAGCAGGGGAATCTTCCGTGCAATGCATGATTTGAAACCATGATGGCGTAGTGTTCTACCGACAGTGACCTTTGAAACTGTGGTCCCAGCTCTCTTCATGTCATTGACCAGCTCCTCCCTTGTAGTTCTGGGCTGATTCCTCACCTTTCTTATCATCAGTGATACCCCACGAGGTGAGATCTTGCATGGAGCCCCAGTCTGAAGGAGACTGACAGTCGTCTTTAGCCTCTTCCATTTTCTAACAATTGCTCCAACAGTTGATCTATTTTTACCAAGCTGCTTGGCAATTGCCCCGTAGCCCTTTCAAGCCTTGTGGAGGTCCACAATTTTGTCTCTGGTGTCTTTTGACAGCTCTTTGGTCTTGCCCATGGTAGTAGTTGGCATCTGACTGACTGTGGGGTGGACAGGGGTCTTTAAAGAGCTCAAACAGGTGCTACTAAGTTAGATTAATGAGTGGAGTAGAGGTGGACTTTTTAAAGACACAGTAACAGGTCTTTGAGAGCCAGAATTCTTGCTGTTTCTTAGGTGTTCAAATACTTACTGTACTGCTGAAGTACTTAATGTACTTCAGCAGTGCAAGACAAATCAATTCCTTAAAAATCATACAATGTGATTTCCTGAATTTTTTTTTAAATTCTGTCTCTCAGAGTGGGAATGCACCTACAATGTGAATTTCAGACCCCTCCATGATTTCTAAGTGGGAGAACTTGCAAAATCGCAGGGTGTTCAAATACTTCTGTTCCTCACTGTATGTATGTATGTATGTATATATATATATATATATATATATATATATATATATATATATATATATTTTTTTTTTTTTTTTTAAGTAACTTGCAATGTACCTCTGAACATGCTAACAAATTTAACTAGTCATTTCCTTAGCATAGCCCTCTCCTTTTTTTGGGAGGGTGGAATTTCTTTACCTGCTATGTGATCACCAGGAGGGGGAGTGAATGGGAATATTATAGTCAGTAGAATGATAGCTCAGTCAGTTACTGGGCACCACTATCTCAAATGTCATGTCAACTATCACGGGGCTTTTGGATGTCTGTAGGCTTTCACATAACATACCTAAAATGTGTTAAATGCACAAAAAAATCATATGCGAAAATTGTTGTTGAAAAGTCTGGTGACCGGCTTTCTGACAAGACATGGGCTGACGAAAAGGTACGTTTTGAGACTCTTCTTTCTGCAGTCATTGCCATTTGCTTTTTTTTGATCCTGTGACCCAGGGTCACTTTAAAGTGCAGTGCAAACTTCGTATAGAATGGGAAGCCATGACTTTTGGAACCTTTGTCAGGCAGACATGACATTAGATATACTGTGTTAGCCTTCCACTTTATCCCAAAAAATCATATGTGGAATAAACATACACAGACAACTGTAGGTCCCATAATCATTTTATAATTGTAAAAAAACAAAAAAAAAAAAAACCCACTAGCATTTGTAACATTTTTTTCTGTGCATGACTCTTGTTTTATTTTACATAATTATGATGATAAACATATGTATAACTGTACAATATACCCGATTAAAGAAACATTAAATGCCTGGCACGTGTCTTTATTTTCATTCATATACAGGTTATGATACTGCCTAAAAGAAAAAAGTTCCTTGATGACCGATATTTCATTTACATACAATGAAGAGTAAATGCTAAACTTGTAACAGTACAACTACTCAAACATGAAGGGTCCTTACTGACACTGATAACAAAAAACTCTGAGATCCATTTATCCCAAAAGTCAGTGGATGGTAAAATAACATCTGTGCATTTTTTTATTTAATTTTTTTTAAGAATTCTACCCAGCATTGCACACTAATCAGTGGGGCTTGATGACTATAAACAGTCTGCAGGCATTTACAGAACGTATTTCCAGTCATACACTACCACCTCCCTCAATCTCTATTTTTCCACCATTTTGCATAATGCAAAAGTAAAATGGCCCTACCCAGTTCATGCTTTTTCCATTGGAACAAAGCAATCTGGGGGGAAGCAGTGGCACTGGGCAGAAATTCAAGAGCACCACGTGGATAAATGCACACAAAGTGATTTTACTCCAATTCATCAACACTAAACATTGTTAGGTGGGATCTTCTTTTATATAAACTATAGCATGTATTTAAAGTGCACCTGTTGTCTACACATACTGAAGACAAACATTTTGTGGAGCAAGCTAAAATCTATTAAAATGTAGCAGATTACTGCACTAGAAACAATGCCAGTTGGTGGGCCTTAGAGTAAGTTGCATTCTAATTTGCTCAGGCTAGAAAACTTCTACCTCTACATATGTGGGCAATGGATATGAATTATTTAAATATCCTTCTATAAATAAAATATTACTTTTTTGAATCATTCAGGCCTTCATAACCTCAACATAAAAATGTTAAAAATATGATTACTGTAAAATCCAGGTCTCAAGTTAAAAAATTACCAACAACACATGCAACAACCCTAGGCCATCCAAATACCACACACAACAATGCACATGGGTGCATTGGCAGATAAATACATAGTTTAACCATTGTATTAACAGAAAACATGCTTTAAAAAAAAAAAAAACATAGAAGTCTTGGACAGCTAAATATTTTTATAATGTATAAGACATTTGTATCAAATGATATTGCAGCTGAAAGTTTAGAAAATGCTGTAATCCGGGGGATACATTACTGGGATCCAGTTTTCTGTAAAAGTAGCACAGTGGGTCCACCCAAGCAATTTCATTAACTGTGTGAGGAAAAAACACAGTACATTATTAATGTATAATATGAATAAATATTCTCTCACATGAAGATACACATACTGAAAAAAACAAACAAAAAAACAAACCCCCCCCCCTTCCTTCATTCACTCCTCCCAGTTTGACAGTAAACCTTCTAAGCTCTAATTACATGGGTCTAACATTTCTATTAACAAACACTGTAGAGCTAGTCCAGAATGATAAAAGAACCTGTTATGGAGAACATGTGGGAGCGACACAGTGAGAAAAACAATTCTTACCTGAACACAGTTTTTCCAGTTTTCTTTAGTTGGCTTTTCTTCTACTATCTTTGTTGCAGCTTTAATTCCTCGTCCATATAATTTATTTGCTAAAGCATGCTTATAGACAAACGGTAAAACCTTTAGGGAAAAAAAAAAAAAAAAAGACTAAAGTCTTACGCTCTAATGAAAAACTGAAATGCAAAATAAAATTGAAAACTAAAATGTTACATTTTTACATAACAAACCATAATGTTGTGCTAAATCACATTACAACAGTTCTAACAAAGTACTACATTTTACAAAGTTCATCTTTAAAAAAAAAAAAAAAAAAAAAAAAAAAAGCGCATTCCTTTTTTTTTTAAATTTTTTATTAGGATCCTGTTAAGCATTGCTTAAGCATCGCTTAAGCACTGCTGATTGCGGGTGCAATCCAACGCTTCTTCCATGACAGGAAGAATCAATGAACCACCTAGTCTGCTCACCAGCACTCTGGTAGTTTACTGAACACTACAAGCCAAAAGGCTGCCAAGGCTGGAAGTAGTTGTAGTTTTCCCATCCACAGAACTCTGTGAATGAATGTGTTGGTGGGTGGAATTACTTGAGTTGTAAAAAACGTTTGGGGAGAAGATTCCCAGCTCAATGGCATTAGACGCAGCAGATCAGGGGGAGGCTGCAGTAGTGGGAACGTGTAACATGTTCCCAAAGGTGAACGTATCCTTTAAAGTGGTACTCCATTATTTTTTTTATTATTTTAAATCAGGTTAGAACCTCCGTCACCTTTTAACTGTTGCCTGTTTCCTTACTGGACAGATGTAATTTTATGTCCTGTACAAGAGACACTTTTTTATTATGCTATAAAATACCCTTAACAGGCTTAATGACAGCAGTAAATACCTACCAGAGGCTGTAACCTTTCCTGTCTAACTATGTGATGAGGAACTGAATTAAGAGATAACATTTCAAACATTGACAGACGGCATAGAAATGTGTTAGAGGCTCCAAGGCTTCCCTAAAATTGTAGCAGGAGATATTCAATGTAATGTTTGATTTGTACCTAGCTACTGCAGAAATATAAAAAGGCAAGTAGCTCCAGAGGAGGTAGTGATCCCGTTCTAAAAGGGAATTTTAACTTACCTGTAAATGCTTTATTTAGGGAGTACAGTCTAGGACAGTCTTGATATTCACAGACCATGGACTGTAGGCTGGTACTTTCAGGTGATTGGACACTGGCAAAGTATTAGACGGCATGCCTCCTGGGCATCCCCTTTAATTATACCCCATTTTGTGAGTTCTCAGTTTTTTTTTTTTAACTAAGCAATGCAATGTAACACTGGAACAGAGGAGAGGGTGGCCTGTGCCCTGTACTCCAATATATGAAATTTAGAAGCAAGCCAAAATTCCTTTCATCATAATTATACAGTACAGGACACAGGTTTGATATTCATAAACCCTAGGACATCCCCAAGCAATGAATAAGGGTAGGGACAACAGCAAGGCTAACAGAAATGTGCCAGCAGGCCCACTGATAACAAGGGTCAACAAACCCAACTCAGAGTGCTGCTGCAAGAACATTGCTGCTGAAAGCTGCATCTCAACCTGAACCTCAACCTTGTAGACCTTCGAAAAGGTATGAACAGAAGACCGAATGGCATGCCGCACACACTGGAAATCACTCCCGCCCTGGGAACCGCACTGCACTTGCAGTTCCCATGTGGGCTGCAATTCCAAAAACAGAGAAAGGACTTTTCCCTGCATTTCAGAAGGAACGGCAGCCCCTTCAAACGAATGCCCGCACAAAACACAGTTCACAGAGCCACATCCGTGCGAACCAGACCTGAACCCTGTGTGCGCTTCAATGAAAGAAAGACATATATTTTGGGTAATGTATATAAAGAAAGAGATATAGTACCATTGGTTTAATCAGATAACACAATTACTTACCTTTGAATCATATACATCAATCCATTTTGTAATTTCCCAGTAAGTATCATTTAAGGCCTCTAGAGCAGCATCTTGATCGTCTTCTCTCCCATCAATGTCACATGATGCAGCACCATCTTTGGACTGAAGATGGAGAACCTTCTCTGCCAAGCCACAGCCTTTTCGACACAGAACATCAATCAGTGTGCCCTTCTGCTTCTCCATGTCACTGAGAACGAGTATACAGTGAAGGGACAAGGTTAACTACCGAACAGCGAAAATACACACCAACTTAACAAGTCAGCATACACAAGCACAGCAATTTTTACAAAAATCCCTGCTAAAAGTTAAACCTGTATGGAGTTAATATATAACAAATATTTGCAAACTTTAAATTGCAGCTTTTTGTGAAATGGTGAAAATGGAAGGTACACAAAACTGTAAATAACCCAAATTTCTATACAAATCTGGAGGCTTTTTTTTCCCCCCTTACAGTTTTCAGAGTTGGTAAAAGACCCACCAAACCATATATGGCCCTGTTATATTTGCACCAATGTTTATCAAAACAATATTTTTGCTAAAAATACACTAACATCATAGCATAGCAGGTACAAAAACCGCAAATTTGACAAAAGTCCTGTAGAATATAAAAGCTAAACCTGTACGGAGTTAATAATCAATATTAAATTGTGCCTTTTTGTAAATGTAAAAAACAAATTTCACAAAAATTCTGGGAGGTGTTCATTTTTCACTTACAGCTTTCAGAGTTTATAAATTACCCCCAAACCATACAATAGATGCAGAAAATGTTTATCAAATCTATATACAAATAATTTAAAAAAAACACAACACTAAAATCTTTATTTGCACACATAAACACAACATAAGTTACAAAATTCCTGCTAAGGCTTTGTTCACATGAGGTGTACTAAAAGTGTATGCCCATATGGGGATGCACAGGTGTTCTGTGCATCCCTGTGCAGGCAGTCCCATTCAAGGACAGAGCTACTGCTTCCTATCTGACTGCATTTGGGGCCATGCACCTACACCTGCACGCATGACAGTGTGAGTTCAGGGACACGCACAGACACAGATGTCAAGTTGGGAGCAGTGGCTGTGTCCTTACAACTGCTGCATCCCAACTGACATGAATGGGACTGCCTGCACAGGAATACACAAAACACCTGTGCATTCCTGTGCAGCCCACTGTGTCCCAACTAACATCAATGAGACTTCCTGCATTGGGAGGCATGGAACATCTGTGCATTCCTGTGCAGCTAAACATGGACTCGCCTTAGGCCTTGTTTAGACTTGTGGTTGAGGGGGCAAAAATGCACAGTTGTGTTTTTGCCTCCTGCCAACTGCCCCCTTCTTAGGCAGGGGACACAAGTGTTTACATGCTATGTCTATGGCAAAGCTGACCTGACTTGTAGCGATCGGCGGGTGGCAAGCCCACCGAACACTACACATTCAAGTCAATGAGGAAGAGCAGCAAACACCCCATAACTGCATGCAATGCATGTGGTTCTGGCGCATTTGCCAGCAAAAATTTTGATTAAAACAGGAAGTGACAGGCAGTGAGGAGGCGTTGCATTGTCTGTCAGTAATAATATTATTATTCATTTATTTTTTTAAACGGGTCCAATTTTAGTTTTAATTTAATAATTTTTTACAGGTTTTATGGGGGTGAAATATCATGGGTCTAAACAGACCCCTGATGTCTCTTTTTTGAGACAAAGGGACTGAACACAGTCCTTTTCTCTGCAGCCTCAGCTGCACTGTAGGTGAATGAATAGATGTCTCTGTAGTGAGACTCCTTTTCATTCACAATCTGAATCATAGTAAACACAGTTTACTATGCTTCATTCACAAATTGAAGTATAGTAAACCCAGTTTTTTAATGCTCCAGTGATGAATGAACACAGGAGCAATACGTACCGAACGCTCAGTCCATATGCTGTACAGACCCGGCAGCAAGAGGGTTAATCCCCTTTAGCCAGACTGCTTGCCATCACTGGTCTCAGCTTGTGCAATGCATTGCTATGGTGCATACACAAGAGCGCACACGTCCTATGCACTAGCAATCTGGCTCCTGAGAATAATCCAGCCTCTTCTCAAGTAATTTAGAGCAGTTTTTTAGGGATAAAAAATAAATCCCATAGTGGAACTGCCCTGGAGTGAAAAGAATAGGGGTTAATTGGCAAGAAATATAAAGTAGGCAACCATAGATGACAGCCCTGACCCCACCCATAAGGCAAATATGCAGGTGTTTGACATGCCTTCAAGGCAAGACATGGGGAGGGAGAATGTTATTACCACAGAGGGTGATAAGAGCCCCCCATGGAAACAAGGCAGACAGGCTTCCAGGATACGTTGACCCCTTATAGCACAAGAAAAGGAGGGGGCCCTGAAAAGAACACTCTATTCTTTCAGAGGACCTTTTAAAGGAAGTAACCCTTTTGAGCACAAAGGGATGGCTCTGTGTGGACAAGAACAGCTGAGGAAGGCCCCAGAGAGGCAAAGAAAGTTGCAACTGGAGATGAAGAAGTACAAGTTCTTACAAAAGTTAGCGTACAAGGAGTGTAAAGGGCTAGGACCAAGGGCTAGTTGTTTAGGGATTCCAAGCAGAGGAAGTACGAGGAATGGAAACTATTTTTAGGATGGGCTTCCCCATCATCACACTCTGTGAGAATTACCTCACGATAGATTACAGAGTATGGGTGAGTGATCTGATTGTGCCCAAGAAAAAGGGGCAACAAACGTAGAAGTTACGATGTGTCTGAATTGTAAATATCAGGGATACTAGCTGGGGGATCTATGGCGACAGTGTGTTTGGTGAGATGGGTGGGCAAGTGCAGGGTCAACATCATGTGGAGAAGAAACAAAACAGGGAGAATTGAGTAGAAAAAAAAGTAACCTCCATACATAGTAAAGAGTAGTGTTTCAGTAACCTTGAGTGAGGAAGCTGAGAACCGGATGTCCCACAAAGAAGTCTGCCAACAAAGCAACTGAACAGCAGTTGTCAACTCTTTTTCTGGACAGAGAGCAGGCTCAGGGGCCTCGCGCACACACAATCACCAACATATTCAACCTAAAAACAGCTGGATCTAGATTTAGCCCTGGTTCACATTTGTGTAGTCTGCAATTTGCACAGGCACGAGAGCCCATTCATTTGAATAGACTCCAATGCCCCGGGACACACAGGGAAGAAGTCCCTGCATTACTTTGGAAATCGCAGCCCACACGAGAACTGAGGTTCACAGTACAGTTGCAATTTCCAGTGCGGGCGGCGTGCCATTAGAATTCATGGCACCTGCCTGCGGGTCCCGCATTCCTCTGTGTGGGTGGTGCGGCTGCAGGTATTTGTGCGGGTTCTGCAGCTGCACCACCCGCACAGATGTGAACCAGGGGTTAGAGACTGTGAAACCAGTCTCACATGACTGTTCTGTAATTCCTGCTCCTAAAATGTAATAGTTACACTCCCTTTTTTAGAATACACTTATTGGTACTGTGTGTTCTCACCCTTACTCAAGCCTAGGTAACTGTTGGTCCCCCCCCCCCCGTCCTTTTCTACGCTCATTATTCAAAACATTGTAATTTTGAAATCTTACAGTATGTCTACAAAGCTTAATACTGTGTGACCTTTGTTTTTGTTTTATGTTATATTCATCATGTAAAAATCAATAAAAATATTGAAAAAAAAAAAAAAAAAAAAAAAAAAAAAAAAAAAAAGGATGATGTATCAAGTGACGGTCATCTTAGGTCTGTGGGTAACCTTATCTAGTACAAAAGGGGTCTGAGAACAAAAAGAATGAAGTCCCTATATATGAGTATGCGTAGAAACTTTGTGTGGAGAGGCATCAAATGCAAAGCCCTAGAAGCAATTTTATTAATCACAAAGACTGTGATTTGTACATAAAACAGATTTGGAAAAGGGTCAGAAAAGAAAATATTTACTGGTTAGGTACTTTTTTATAGTGGCCGCATCAGGTCTTGGATCGGACTTCATGGCAAAAAACAAGGCAAGAGCTGTCTGATCAATTCTAGAAATTACTTCCTCCGCAGCTGAAATTATTTCATTTATGAGCTTGATTCTTTCCTGGAATAAAAAGGAGCAACAATTAGAAGCAAACTAAACAAATACCATCCAAGCCCTTATAATATCAAGCAAGAGCTACATACTAGTCTCTCAAGCAACATTAATATTAGTTCAGAGCAATTTAAAAAAAAACAAAAAAACAAGAAAGCGTTTTTTTAATGCATATTAATAAAGCAAAGAGAGGATAAGATTACACATTTCAATTACAACTGTTTATACAAGGAAGCAGGTGTTTTTATTGCCAGAGCTTGAGTGGTAAATGCAGCTTAATAAAAGATACAATGACGCTATAAATATTACTACAACACTGTGTTAATGGTCTTCTTGAAATGCATAAAAAGGACTATTAGATTGCATACATAGAAGTATTAGAAGGGCTTTTATATTTACCTTACGTATGCTGCTTCTGAAGAGCTCCCGTGACCAATACCCAAGCCTTTACTACAGAACAGAATTTGATCCATGCAAAGTGAGTGTTCTATTCCTTCTATTTATCCTGATTTATGAATTCCTTACAGCTTTATGTTAACATTTGACTATAATGCCTCTTATCTGAAGCAGTCAAACAAGCAATTTTTGGAACCATCACTCCTAGTTGGAATACCCTCTAAAAAAGTCAAGCCAGCTTACAGTGGCAGTAAGCACATTCTACTGAGTATTACCTATAGCAAACAATATGACCACATCATGCTGTTCTTTTTTTTCATTCTTTTTAAAGTAAAAAAAAAGGTATACATATTTAAATTCCTACAAAAGCCATTTTACTAAAACTAATAAAATGACATTTGTCATTTTACTCTACAGCCATTAATCTCAATTTCTCCTGCACACAATTGGCTCACTGCTTTGCCTAGAAGTCCCGTGAAATATGTGTTTTCAGTTTAGCATTTTAGAGTTTTGCACATATAGCTGCAGACACTGCTGCTTTTCTTGCTGCCATCACCAAGATTGATCAGGTGATAATAATGATGGCAGATCCCATCACGTGGCAGGTGCCAACAGCAACTAAGATTTCCAGTCCATAATCGGACAGCTACAGGCAACATATCCACTTTCCATTCATCCAGTCTTTATAGAAGAACATTGCTTCTTATAATCTGAAGTTAATAAGGCCCTATGAAAAAAAAAAAAAAAAAAAAAAAGTTTTCCTGAAAATATCTATCTATCTATCTATCTATCTATCTATCTATATATATATATATATATATATATATATATATACACATACATACATACATACATATATACATAGATGGTTTCCCATGCTGTGTTACTGGTAAGACGGGGGGGAATAATGCAAATAAAACTTGCAGCGAGCTTGTAACTGAAGATAGCTTGTGTTAAAGTATGGATTACTTACTTTTGATTTTGAAGTGCCCTTCCTCTGGTAATTTGCAAGGAAACACATAGTGGGTGCTTTAAATTATTAGGATTATATATTTGATCCTGATAATGCTACACTTTAAAACTGAAGTGTTCATATTATTATTATTATAGTTGTCCCAGATGAAAAAAAAAAAAAAAACACAAAACGGAAGCTTTTAGCAAACAGGCAAGTTAACAATCACTGTATCTGACAGCACATAGTACATCCAGCAAGGATAGTACACATTACCAGCTGATAAGAACTGCATTGGCCTGCATACACTACCGAGTCCTATAGTATGTAAACAGTGCTGATGACATATGACAATGTATCAGATACAAATATTTTATATATATATATATATATATATATATATTATTATATATTATTATTATTATTATTATTATTATTATTATTTAAACAACCAAAATAAGTTCTAACCCTTCTCAAAATTACAGTTTTGGAGCTGGTGCTGTGGTTCTCCATCTATCCCTAACACGCTATGTCACAGTTCATGCCCAGAAAAGGTTGCTTGCCCAAGTTAAGAATAGTAAATTGCAGACACACACCCGAGATCCAAAGTAGACAGGAGACAATTAACCTATTGTAATGCTTTGGAGTTCTTAGAGGATAGAGTACAGTGTGGAAACTCATAGGAGGATGACTGTAAATACCATGCAGGGCCTCTGGGGTATGTAAACTCTAAGACCATAGAGTGGCAAGGCATAACTGCTTTTGCGATGCCAGTGCAGGTGGATATGATTTTGAAAAAAAGCTATAAAAATTAAATATTTATAGGACAATCCATGTAAATACAAGCAAAGAGCATAAAAAGGGCGGTGTTAGTAATTTATTCCTTAAAGGGAAACCATTCTGTAGTTTCAAAACTACTTTATTGTATAGCGGATATAAATGTCATTTTAATGTGCATTTCATAAGATTGCTATTTAAATGCAGATTTGGGAATACTACACCTAGCGGATGACTACTTGGTTTGAGTACCCATTCACACTAAAGGTGGTATGTTTGTGGGTTAACTAACCATATTTCAGATTCAGAATGGGTGTCCAATACACCACAATTGGCTAAAATCACTCCTGTTCCAAGTATGGCTAGCACAGAGTACCACAATATATGGTAGGCTCACTGGGGAGGGGTGTTAAGTGCAAATCACAATGATCAGCACCTCAGTTGACTGGTGTAAATGGGATCTGACTGTCGTAACTGAACAAGCAAGCACACATTTGCTTAAAAAAAAAAAAAAAAAATCAACATTTTATTTTTTTTTTCATCTCAAAAATTGTTACCTTTTCAGAATCCAGCTGATGAAGCCTTGCAACATACAGGGGAAGATGGTTTGGAAAAGCTTCCTTCAATTCACTGAAGATATCATTGCTATCAAGCCTTCAATAAAAACATGTCAAAAGTTTATTTGCGCATAAAACCTACAGTATCAGAATGATACCTCAAAATATTACTGTCCCCCTTAGCCCCATCCACATTGAAATTGGTATCATCTGCCTGAGAAATCTCCAGAAACATTTGTCTCCTGCTTGCTTTATGTTAATACCATGGCAAAGCAACAGAGCCACACCATTTTTTTTAAGATTCTAAAAACAGAATATTTCTACATATAAAAAAAAAAAAAAAAAAACTTAGGCCAACGCATTTCCTGACCCTCCAAACTCTCTTTCATCAGAGCTGATGAAGGGATTATTTGAAGATTTCCTCAAAAAACATTTGCTTAAATTAGGCCCTTCACAAGACCAACACAGTGTATCCATGGTTTTCATGCAGGTTACCCACACTTTTCCATAGACTTCTACCAGATCACGAGATTTGGGAGCGTTTTTTAAAGGTACACCAAAGATGCAGCATGCAGGACTTTTGGTACGCTTTCAGAAAAGGCGCCATTAACTCCTGATGTAAAAGAAGTCTACAGGAAACCTCAGCGGATAGAATGAAAGGGGCCTTATATGGAAAAATAAATATTCTGGCTTAGGACTAGGTATGGCACTCCAGTCGTTTTCCATGTGTGTTTCAACCAAAGTGCCCATTTGAGGCACCAGTCAAGAGACCCAACAGTTTGTAGATCCAGCAATTCAAATCTAGGTCACAAACTCTCCATGAGAATTATTTATTATTATTATACAAGATTTATATAGCGCCAACAGTTTACACAGCACTTTACAATGTAAGGGCAGACAGTACAATTACAATACAAATTAATACAGGATTCAGAGGGCCCTGCTCCTTAAAACTTACAATAGAAGAGGGTCAAGAGATACAAAGGGTGATAACTGTGGGGATAGGCTGATGGACAAAATACATGTACAGTTGTTAGGTGGGGGCAGGATAGGCCTCTCTGAAGAGATGAGTTTACAGGGATCCTTTAAAAGTGGGTATAGAAAACCCTTAGTGCAATAGACTTCCTGCAAAAACAAATTGTGCGGCTAGCATATAATGTGTTCCCACATGTAAACCATAAAGCAATAAAAAATGCAGCGCAGCAATATAAACACAAATATGGTGCTAATAATATAAACATGCATATATGAATAGTTAAAACAGAAATTGTGTTTGTGGCAATAAATATGTGCTACACCAAATGTCTTATCAACGCATACACATAGATACCCATAGAACTGCACATAACAGTGCTGAAATGAATATAGTGCATACAAATACCAAATAAAATGTTCCTAATAGTGGACTGTCCCTTTAAATCTCAGATATCTTCACGTATGCTTGTGCGGTATATCTCCTATATATCGTGACCCAAATACACCAGCAACAAGTGTCTCATAAATAAAATCTCAAAACAATGGTGAACCGTTCCTTTAAACCCGCTGTGTTCCAAGTGGGTCAGTGTAATCACACTACTGCATACACGAATACGGTGCTCCAGGGTCACCCCTTAGTGCTCATCCACCTCCAAAACACTATTGCGCTCACCTCCAGGTTTAACCCGTAATGCCAGGTCAAACTACTCTTTTCCCTTTAACCTGAGAGGGTATACTGGTACACAGATCTTCACTACCATCAGCACTTTAAAATGCTCCAGAATGCTCCACAATCGTATGAAAAAACTGCTCCAAATAGTATAGTATTGCCAAGTAAAACGGACTTTATTAAAATAATCAAAATAAACGCACATTTAAAAGTGTCCTCCTGGGACACTACAGGATAAAAACTCACTATACAGTATGTCTTGTGAACAATGTATAGGAATCCCTCTTTCAAAATGGCCACAAACCGGAAATGCACATGCCACCAATTTGGAAAAGGGATTCCTGTACATTGTTCACAAGAAATACTGTATAGTGAGTTTCTATCCTGTAGTGTCCCAGGAGGACACTTTTAAATGTGAGTTTATTTTAATTAAGTCCATTTTACTTGGCAATACTCTACTATATGTAAAAGATAGGGTTCAGTGAGCGCTTAAGGATGGGAAGCGGCTAGAACACTAAAAAGGAAAACCATATAACCTTCTAAAATCACATAAAACATGTAGTGCAGCGCTATAAATAATAATAAAATATGATGCGGATGCCTGAAGCTAAAATACACAATATAAAAATAAACGCAGAAAATAATTAAACCGCATAAAATGTTAGGATATGAGAATAAAGTCCGTGTGACAGTATATAAGGAATAGGTAGTGTATATCTCAACACCTATGCACTATATGCAAATAAACAAATATTTCAATCAACATTCAAATAGTGCAGAGAGTGATGTTGGTATCAATATTCCGATAGGTGACTTCTCTAATCCCATATACACTATATACACTACCTATTCCTTATATACTATCACACGGACTTTATTCTCATATCATAACATTTTATTCGTTTAATATTTATTTTCTGTGTTTATTTTTATATGGTGTATTTTAGCTTCAGGCATCCGCATCATATTTTATTATTATTTATAGTGCTGCACTACAAATACTATACTATATGGAGCATTTTTTTCATATGATTGTGGAGCGAATTTTAAAGTGCTGACGGTGGTTAAGATCTGTGTACCAGTATACCCTCCCGGGTTAAAGGGAAAAGCGTAGTTTGACCTGGCATTACGGGTCAAATCTGGAGGTGGGCGCAATAGTGTTTTGGAGGTAGATGAGCACTAAGGGGTGACACAGGAGCACCGTATACGTATACCGTATACGTGTATGCAGTAGTGTGATTGCACTGACCCACTTGGAATACAGCGGATTTAAAGGGATGGTTCACCATTGTTTTGAGATTATATTTATGAGACACTTGTTGCTGGTGTATTTGGATTACGATATATGAGATATACCGTACAAACACACGTGAAGATATCTGAGATTTAAAGGGACAGTCCAATATTAAGAACATTTTATTTGGTATTTGTATGCACTATTCATTTCAGCACTGTTATGTGAAGTTCTATGGGTATCCATGTGTGTGTGTTGATAAGACATTTGGTGTAGCACATATTTATTGCCACAAACACAATTTCTGTTTTCACTATTCATATATTCACGTTTATATTATTAGCACCAGATCTGTGTTTATATTGCTGAGCTGCATTTTTTATGTATTTATCGTTTAAAAGTGAACAGAGATGGAGATAGTTGGACACATTGGGGAAGGGAGTTCCAAAGGATGAGAGCTGCTCTGGAGAATTCCTGGATGCGAGCATGGGAGGAGGTGACAAGGGAGCTAGAGAGCAGGAGGTCTTGGGAAGAATGAAGAGAATGGTTTTGGTTGGTATTTTGAGACCAGGTTAGCGATGTAGCTAGGGGCTGAGTTGTGGATGGCTTTATAAGTAATTGTGAGTATCTTGAATTTTATTTGTCGGGTGAGTGGGAGTCAGTGGAGGGACTGGCAAAGAGGGATAAGCAGATACTGAACGGTTAGTAAGGTGGATGAGTCTGGCAGCAGCATTCATGATGGACTGGAGGGGGGATAGCCTATGCAAAAGGCAAGCCAATGAGGAAGGAGTTGCAGTAGTCATGGCGGGAGATGACCAGGGAGTGAGTTAGAAGCTTTGTGGTGCCATTGATTAGGAAGGGGCGTATCTTGGAAATGTTGCGGAGACTGAGGCGGCAAGCTTTGGACAGCGACTGGATGTGGGGTCGAAAGGATAGTTCAGAGTCCAGGATTACACCTAGCACCCTGGCATGTGGGGGCGGGTTGATGGTTGAGCTGTTGATTTTGACAGAGAAGTCAGTAGAAGGGGCATGTAGGGGAGGAAATATTATGAGCTCAGTTTTGGATAGATTCATTTTCAGGAAGTGGTGTGACATCCAGGCTGATATGTCTGTTAGTAGATTAGTGACACATTTGGAGACAGAGTGAGCTGAGGGGTAGAGAGAGATTGTCATCAACATAGAAATGGTATTGAAAACTATGGGAGGCAATCAATTGACCCAGAGAGGAGGTGTAAATTGAGAATAGGAGGGTTCCCAGAACAGAACCTTGGGGAGCCCCAAAAGGAGAAAGGAAGAGGAGAAGAGAAAGTAGAATTGTAAGCAACACTGAAGGTGAGATGGGATAGGTAGGATGAGAACCAATGAAGAGCACAGGCAGAGACCAACAGAGTACAGGTTTTTGAGAAAGAGGGAGTGGTCCACTGTGTCAAAGGCAGCAGAGAGGTCCAGGAGTATGAGCAGTTAGTAGATCACTTGTAAGTTTGAGGAGAGCAGTTTCCGTGGACCGCTGAGAGCGAAATCCAGACTGAAGAGGATCAAGAAGGTTACTCTCAGTGAGGTGGTTGCTCCGTTGGTTGTAGATCAGGCGTTCAAGGAGTTTGGAGGAAAAGAAGAGTAAGGAGATGGGTCGTAAGTTAAGATTGGGGGGGTCTATTGAGGGCTTTTTAAGTATGGGGTTGACTAGTGCATGGTTTAGAGAATTTGAGAAGAAGCCGGAAGAGATTGAAGATGTGAGTTAGAGAGTATAGGATAGAGCCAGAGCGTGGCCGTAGCATTTGCGATGGAACAGGGTCCAGGGGGCACATGGTTATGTGGGCGTTAGAAAAAAAGTTTAGCAACCTCCTTCATAGTAGTGGGGTTGAATGCAGGAAGTAGTGATTGTCCCTGTAAATGTGCAGTATTAAGTAGGGGAGGTATCTGCGCATCACAGATCTCCTCACGAATAGTATCGATTTTCTTTTTGAAGTGATTGGTGATCTCCTGGGCAGTGAGTAAGTTAGTGGGTGGAGGCAGTGGAGGATGAAGAAGAAAGTTGAAGGTAAAGAAGATTTGGCGGGGATTCATTACATTATTTCAGTTCATTACTCTCAAGTGTTCATGAGAGTAATGAAATAGGTCTGCTTGGCAGTGTGGAGGGCAGATTTATATTGGTTGCAGCCTTTAAGAGACTTCGTCTTAAGCCACATGTTTTTTGAAGCCTTTATGTAGGGGTCAGGGCCTGATTGCATGTAGGGAGGGGGACGAGCTTGTCTAGGGAGGATGACCGTGAACTGCTGTAGACAGAAGTGGCTAGATCTGGGCAGGACAGGGATGATATTTTGTCATAGAGGTGGTCAGTAGCAGAGTAGAGAAGGATTGAGGTGGCGAAGGTTTCTACGGGTAGCTGTTAAGTAGTTGGAGGGAGAGGAGGCAGGAGACAATGAGAGAGTGAAGCTAATAAAGGTAGTGATCAGAGAGTGGGAGAAGGTTGTTGGAGAGATTGCATGGAGTGTATAGATAGGCGAATACAAGGTCAAGGGTGTTGCCACTGGAGTGTGTAGATGCCTGTATCCATTGCTTCAGGCCAAAAGAGGTGGCTAGATTAAGAAGTTTAGAAGTAGCAGGAGTGTTCGCATTAAAAGGGATGTTGAAGTCACCGAGAATGATTGTGGGGATTTTAGAATAAAAGTAAGGTAGGCAGGCAAAGAAGTCATCAAGAAAGGTAGATACCGGTCGAGGGGGTCGGTAGATCACAGTAATTCTTAGGGAAAAAAAAGGAGAGAATAGATGTATACAATGTGCCTCAAAAGAGGAGAGTGTCAGAGAGGGAGGTGGGTGAAGTACTCAATAGGTGCTCTGTGGGGCAAGGAGGATTCCAACTCCACCTCCCTTACGTCCACTGGGTCTGGGAGAACGAGTCCAGAGAAGGCCACCATGGGAAAGGGAAGCAGAAAGAGAAGACAGAAGGGAGGGTGATGTATATAAACTGTGGGGTGGAGAAGAGGGATGAAGGAAGGAGACATTCAGGAGAGCAGACAACTGTCAGAAGGAGTGGTAAAAAGCACACGAATAGAGAGATGGTCACCTGCAGCCTGTTTGGTGCTTTTCAATGCAGTTTGCTATGTATGCTAGCTTCGTGCAATCTCTGAAGTGCAGTCTGAAGTGAAAATCACTTGTATAAAGCATCACTTCTAGAAAGTATCACTAAAGGAAAGAACTCGAGCAAAGTCCTTCCCCATAAAGGTGCTCTAGATTTATACTATTAAAGGTGGGGGTGGTTGGTTGTTAATTAATCTTGAGCGAATATAGGGATGGCTGGATAGTAGAGCAAGCTTTTGACAACTAAGCCAAGCTTGCAAGAGGGCAGAGAGAGTTGTAAAGATAAGACCAGCCATAACTTAGGTAAGACACTTACAGAGCAACAAACATAATGAAGCAGAAAGGGCAACAGATGGTGAAGGCAGCAACATACCAAAATGCACAAACACACAGTGAAAAATACACAGTCAGTGTTCAGTTCTAGGTGGATGTAAGCAGCAACATACCAAGATACACAAAAACACAGTGAAAAATTCACAGTGATGATAATAAATAGGAACACTCAGCGAAACATTCAAGTTTATGGCAGCATTGGCTTTTAAACATGCAAGAGGACAATTAAAAGAAATAAAATCTGACCACTGCTTTTAAGTAGGTCTAGCCTGTATAGGGTTTATACAAAAGTCCCCAACCTCCTTATCAGCAGTGTTCGGATACTTTCACACTGCTCCGTTGCAAAAATGCAGTAAAAACACATGCATTTTTGCGGCATTTTTGTTGCGTTTTCAGTGAGTTTTTCACCTGTGAAAAAAGGACGTGACTCAAAAAATGCACCAAAAACACAACAGCAGGAGCATTTTTTATGTATTTTTGGTCGGTTTTAAATTTATTTCAATGGGGAGGAGCATTTTTGGTGCATGTTTTTTACTGCACCAAAACTGCAACTGACTGGTGTGAAAAGATCCAAAAGGATTTAATGGTCATTAATTGCTCTTCTGCTTTTGGTGAGGTACTAACTGAAGAAAAACTGATCAACGTAAAAGCAGCCTTATATGCACAGATTTTATATTTTGAGAGATTAATTCAGTGTGCGTGCACCCTTTTCCATGGATAAAGGGAACAAGAACACGTTTGAGAAAGGATTGCAATGGGCATCAGCAGCACATTCAAGTCACCTACTAAATGAGACAACTGATAGTGTCTGCCCTAACTTATTAAATACCCATCCAAGACACCAATATATTAACATTAACGAAGATGAGCATTTTTTTCTGCTATGTTGACATATTTAACTTCAAATGTAACTTGTTATTTAAATAGTTTAAGAAAATGAAAAAAAAATATATTTTCAACTCCTCCCTGAATTATTGTGGCACAAAATACCTTGCAAAACATTTCTAACATTGTTTATTAAATTTTCCACTGTTTGAGTCATTAGGTGCCAATGCCTGTACAAATAATTCCATCATTCTCCTGACATACTTTGACATCCACTGAATCTTTAGGTCTCTGAGAGCGTCTGCAAATTCTTCTTTCACATCCTTCTCCTTTTCTGCTTCTTTCTCTTTGTCTTTGCTGCCATTCTTAGGTTTTGTTGATGAAGGTATCAAATGGTAGTGAACTGAAATCACATCCTGTAAAGAAAAGAAAAGAGAAAAAACAAACAAAAAAAACAGTTAAAAGGTTCCCAAGTAAAACAACCAAAAGGCTGTAAAAGTACACAAGGGTAAATACGTGTTAAAACAAGACAGGAAAAGATTGTTAATGTGACTACTCTAAACTGAGAAAAGCTGAACTCTGACACTAGTTAAAGCTAGCCAGAACCAGCATAAAGTAGATTAAAACATTGTCAGAATTAGTCTGTTCTAAGTATGTCCTTATTAACACACAATGCAAGAACCCCAGGATCTAAACCTTTAACCCTTTATTATGGCAGCCAGTGTTCAAATCTAGTTACAACTGATAATGAAGATCTGCCTGCACAGTATGGAATGAGTTAAATTACAGCAAACACAGCTGCCCAGCTAAGTTAAGCTATGTGAATGAGAAATAAAAAAAAACAAATAAAACAAATATAAAAAGTAGATGTTATCCCAATTTGGCTGCAAAACTGGAAATACACTTTAAACCAGCACTCAGATGAAATAATCACTAATGCAAATCAAGTAAGTACTGCTTTGCGCAGACAAGCTTACAGGAGGGGGGAGCACAGTCAGGATTGAATCAATGTGTTGCTGCTACTTTATCGTCCAACCAAATGGATAGGGCAGGTCCTGGACCCAGATCTGTTACCTTATAGTCTCTAACCCAGGCTGTGCTATCTGGCAGCACTGACTATAACATAAGAATTGTAAAACAAATTCTCTCCCAGGAAAACAGTTCACATTATATGTATTTGAACAGTGTATTTAACAATTTGCCTGGAGCTCAGCTTTAATATGTGACAAACCTGAAAAACTCAAACTGAACATAATGCAAAGCAGTAAAAGCAGAGGCTACCTCCAGTAATACCATGTATCAAAATGATGTGTAGATCTAGAGATACAAGCAGCTGAAGCTGTCAGCAAAAGTATTTTCTTGTAAAAGTCACCGGAAGTCATTCAGCTTCAAGTTATACTGTCACCTGTAGGGCAGCCCGTGATATTCCCTCCTACCACCAGCATGCCTAGTGTGACCTATGTCTCTCAACGGGCTCCAAGAAAAGGATTATATTGAGAGGACACTGAAGTCATTCATCTTTAGAACATCCGAAACCCACCCAACTGAAGGGTGGGAAACACAACAAACATAACCAGGCCTAGAAAAACAAGGAATGGCAGACTGCCTATAGTTTAATGTGCTGCCTAAAGCTGGTAACAAACTAAGTTGCACTGTCTACCTGGTAGAACATTTGAATAGAACATCAGGTGAGGCCCTTGCAAATCTGGGAAAACATCTGCTTCATGTCAAAAAGCCCAAGAGGCATTAACAGATCTAGTAGAGTGCACTCTGAAAAGCTGGAATCTGAGCTCTCGATCACGTAAGCTCAAATGATGGTCTGAGCTACCTAAAGATTTAGGCGGTGGAACGAGAACTGGTGTATACTTACATGAACCATCCAAAATGACAACGGAATCTGAAAGAAGTGGAGATAGCTCGAACCCCATCTAGACATGGGAGGGAATTTTTCTTTTGGCAAATTGAAGCCGGACAAAGGGGGCAGAACAATGATGTCCTGCTTGGCAAGAAGTGCTAAGCCTTAGAACCACCTTGTTCCTATGCAAAACCATAAAAAGGTTCCTTAGAGGATAGGGTGGCAGTTCAGACAGATACTCTCTGGCCTCATGCACACAGAGCTCAAAAAGTGCTTCTTATATAGATGGTCAGCTTTTTTTATGCTTGTAAAGCACCTTTATATTTGCCTGTGTGGCAATGCACATATAGGTGTTTACAGGAGTATTTGAAGAAGGGCATTTAAAGGCAGACAGAAAAAAAAAAAAAATTAAAGTAGGTACCAAAATGCATTCTGAGAGGAGCTTTTGAGCTGAAAGTGCATAAACGCGTCTAAATGCACGCATATGTATTCCAATAATGAAAATAAATTCATATTTTGGCCAAAGGAATGCTCAGAATGCCATACGTGCATACATATTATAAATAGAGGTGTTTTTTCTGCCAAATTCTGTCAGAAGAAATGCTGCTGTGCATGAGGCCTCCTGGCGATGGCTACAAAGAGTGACTAGAGAGGAATGTCTCTTAGGTCCCTTGCACATGGGAGTAGAAACAGCCATGTTTTTTCCTGATCTGAAAACAGGTGCACTGTTGTCTGTGAACAATGCACACAGCTGTGTAAAGAGCACTAATACAGTGATGAATAAAGCTGTAAAATAGTAACGTTTATGTTTGAGTACAGTAATTTACATGCATACCTATGTATATGTTTGTGTATATTGCAACAGTGGCAACACATCTATACGTAATGTCTAGACCCGAAGTATAAACATCAGTAAAATGTTACATCTATGTGCAAGAAAGGCCTAATGGGTTAAAAGTGTGGTTTCTGGTGAGCAGAGGTATCATATGCAAATCCTTTGGAGTCACAGGGTAACAGGGAGCTAAATAAGGGAGTACCTCTAAAAAAAGTCAATAGCCGCTGAAAGGAGATAAAAGGGCACAAAAAGGACTTTAGGGTCTCTTGCACACAGACCTAAACATTTACCCATGTTTATACTCAGATCTTGCTCACAAAAAGATCCTGAGTAAAATGTTCTGTAAAGACCTTGCATAAATGTACATATGCGTATACATTCTTAAAATTGATCTACATCCTCCTCTAGTTGCCAGTGTTGCAATATAGGCATACACACATATATGCGCATAAAGTACTACACTCAGGAGTAAAATTTTCTATTTTCGTTTTACGGCTCCATACTCATCCCTATATTACAGATCTTTACGCAGCTGTGTGCATTGTCCATAGACAACAGTGTTGATATCAGTGGCTTTTTACTCCTGTGTGCAAGAGGCCCAATAGCACTGAGAGCCAAACACTGGTTTCAGAACCAGCCACCAATAACATTCATTCATACTTCCAGGCAGACCTAGGCACCAGATAACTGTAGGTCTTAGGTCACTAAAGCAACCACAAACTTACAGCCAGTGAAAACTGCAGTGGACTTAAAGCGGAGCTCCACCCAAAGGGGGACGTTACGCTTTAAGCCTTTGCTCCCCCGCTCCTCATTAAAGATTGGCACCTTTGGGGAGTGGGTACCTGAATTTGACAGGTATCCGCTCCCACTTCTGCTACGATCGCCTAGGCGATTGGAAGAAGTTGTCCTCCACCCTCCCTGCAGCTGTCACAGCCGGGTGCCCACACCAGATGCCTGCGCCAGGGAGAGAAGGTGGCCAGTGAAACCAGCGGTGGTGAGGACACCGCTGGACCCCAGGACAGGTAAGTGTCTGTATTTTAAAAGTCAGCAGCTACAGTTTTTGTAGCTGCTGACTTTTATTTTATATTTTTTTTTCCAGGTGGCGCTCCACTTTAAGGGTTACTGAGTGGGCCTGCTACAAGCAGTTTTTTTCTGATGTAACTTTTATGTCCAGTGGCAGTAAAGGGATTTAACCCAGCAACCATGAAGCAGAATGGCAATCTGTCCCCGATACACCAGATCCTGATGTTCTGGCAGAGCCCACTGAGCACCCACCACAAGTGTTACCAGGTTAGTTATCAAATCTATCACATCAACAGTAGCTGGCACGGTCTCTTAGTTTGCAAGCGATACCAGAAGACTGCGGCTCCTGAAAGAAAAACTTGTGGCAAAGACTGGAGTCAGAAGGCCTCTGCGTCAGATGGCTCACAAGTTGCTATGGTCACAGATAAATCTGATACAGATCGAGGTGAAGCACAGGACTGTGCTTGGGGCCTCTGCAGTTTGCAAATATTTGGGTGATTTGGTGCATATAGCTCTTGTATACCTGTAGTGAAAACCTCAGTTGAAAGGGCAGAGAAACCTGCCACATCCCAAAGAGCTAAAGTAGAGTCATGTAACGGAATAGAGACTCTAGAAGTAGAAAGCACTGCGTTTTGTGAATGGCCCCCGTAGTCTTTTGCGACTGGTCACATGTCGCAAAAGACTATAGGGAGGGAGATCAACTTCTCCTTCTGATCATCTAGGCGATAGCATCGCAAGTGGGAGAGGGTACCTGTCAAATTCAGGCACCTCCCCCACCCCAAAGATGCCAATCCTTAACGGGGAGCGGGGGACAAAACCTTAAAGTGGAACTTTCCCTTCTGGATCGAGCTCCGCTTTAATGAACTCTCATGATCTTTTAACTATAGAAAAAGCATGTTTAAATACATTAAAATCAGTTCTATGAACTGCAATCATTTCTGGCACAAAAACCCTTATTTCTTTATTCATTCCTTCTTTACTGCTCCTGTCCATAAAGATTGCTTATTTGGGTCTGTTATTTTAGTGAGGAGGCAGCAGAGAACAGCTGCCAAAACCCCCATTGTATAGTAAGTATGCCTGTAAACATTGAGAAAAAGAAAAAAAAAATTCTAATCATCTGTACCCAGGGCTGTGGTCAGTGAAATGAAGATGGAGCCTCATTCTCACCCCCAAGCCTCCACCTGCATCCAACAAACTGTGTATCACAGGCTCTAAACTATGCTGTGCCTTGCTCTGCTGGGAATGAGCAGAGTAAAGTCTGACTACACAGCTAGCCATTCTCCACACATGGGACAAAAGTACCACATGTATTCTGTCTCCTGCAATGACAGAAAACATTAAAGAGAAAGTGAAACAAAATTCTTTAAGGCACAGGATATGAGGCAAGGTCTAAAGTATTCACCAAAACAAAACAGCTGGTAGCATATGAAGGTGAGAAGTTTGGAGGTGACCAGTGACTGTAGAAGTGCAACAGGAATGAACTTACGATCAGAGTTTCATGTGGTTCTGTGCAAAGTAGGAACAGCAGTAGCCAATGGGAAGATGCTTCCTCAATATGTATGATGGAAAAAAGTGCAGGTATGCAACACTGCACCCAGCAGATGACGTCAGTGCTCAGTCCCATCGCATTAACCAACTTCTGTGGTGGGAACTGCCAGGGAATTTAAAAAAGGCACCCAATGACCAGTGTAAATGAGGTAGCCTCCCAGGGTCCAGCCCAACTAGCCTATTCACTGAGTGAGTCTTTACAGGCTGAGGCAATGCTGGCAGCTCTGGACTGCTAATTTGTTACCAGAATTCCCTAAGCAGAACCCATTGTCTGAAGTCACTACCAGGCGATCTATCCCTGCAATGTGCAGATCAGAAGGGTCTGGATGCTGCACTCAAAGCCAAGCTTAGGACAGGCATGTCACAATTGGTTGCAATAAAAAAGTACTTCTCTAGCAATGATTTAAGAAACACAGAAACATTTTTTACTGCAGTAAAAAAAAAAAAAGAAGAAGTGTGCTAGTAAAAATAAATAGGGGGGGGGGGGGATAGGCATGCTGGTAGTAGGAAGGGGTTATCCTGGGCTGGCCTAAATTTATTTCCTTTTTGCCAGTATGAATTTCTTCTGTAGGAAATGAAGGTGAATGACGTCAAGTGCCCCCCCCCCCCCATGGATGAGAATGAAACAAGGTAGAAACCAAGATCAATAGGGAGGTTCCAGAAGTGGAAGAGGTTGGGACATGTGGTTTTCACTGAGGGCAACCTCTGCTTACACACTTTTTTCAGGTTAAGTTGAAATTGCCAAGGTTCGTGTAAGGTTTACATAAAAAAAGGTTACTGCTTTTAAATGTTCATTTACCAAGTTTTATTAAATGATAAAGACACATTTTCTAGAAAACGCAAAACGGAGCAATGCTCGAAGACACAGCAAACAGGTGTAGATAAAAAAGGCAAAGTGCATTTTATGTGATAGTGTCTTGGAAATATTTTTGAATAGAAGTGCAGATGTTATGCCCCCATTGCAGAAAGTGTATGTTTGCAATTCTTGCGTCTTTAGAGAGAATTGTAAAAAATATTGGGAAGAAGTCAGAAATCTGGGAAATTTTTTTTTTCTTTGCGCTCCTGCTTTGTTTTGCAATTTTATGCTATACAAAAGCTGCGTATTGAACTACTCTGCCAATTGCACTGGTTCTTTGCTGAAACTACCACACTAATTTCCTTGGAAAACTATGTACAACTAAAGATGGCCCTAGATGGATCGAAATTTGGACGGTTCAGCAGGGACCAACTGAATTTCGGTCAGTGTTTGGTCCGTTCAGCAGAAGTTGAGCTTTACAAAAAAAAAAATAGGCTAGTCATCCTAAGGTTAGCAAAACATGCCCTTGCAGGGTAGTTATATGTGACCTGATAAAATCAAGCAATGTGATAAACTGCCAGAAGTGATCACTAGAAGACAGAGTTTTTTTCTAACATATTGAAAAATCTTTGTGACTGGCCCCTAATCATGTTTAAATGTAGAAAAGGTTTAACCCAACATGTTCCACATGTATTGACTGTACTTGGAAGAATGCTGTAGCATGACCTGACAAAGCAGCTCTTATTTGAGAATAAGTAGATACTCTACCAACCATTATTCTAAGCACGTCTTCCTGTGTGCAGCCATCTTTAGACATAAGATAGCACTTTGATCATTAGACAAATTGTTTATAATATGTGCAATTTCATGCCTGAATTTCTGCTTTAATCTGACGATACCCATAGAAATTATCAAGCACATGGATCAAGTAATGATCATCTAATGTCTGTGGTCTTCAAACTTACCACAGCAGGCTGTTTAAATTGCAAATACAATTCAAACAGTTTAAATCATTAAAAACTTTTTTCTTTGGGTTGTACTTGTGTATAACAAGTGTATACTTTGTTTATAAACACATTGGACTACCTAGCAAATCCACCTTATTCAACTAATAACCTTATGTCTTATGCTAGGGCTACATACAGGAATTTACTATATCCGTAAGTGTGCAAAATCGGAGACAGATGTTACTTTCTCTGCTACAAATCTGTCTTCAAAAAGGTGTTGGCGACAGATTCAAATGAACAGATATGCAGATATATGAGGTTAGAGTAACTGACAAGAGTACCTTTTTATATTTTCCTTGTCGCTTTGCTGCAGACTGCCCCTGGGAGTTAGAACAACATACTGTAAGAATACATGTACTCTACAAGGAATGGATAAACTGTCTCCCTACTATAGTAAATGGTAATACATATGGTCTGCTCATACGAGAACTTAAAATCTTCAAAGACTGAATACTTATTAGGTATTGCATTGCATTCATTCACTTCTCAGATTTTTATGTAGTGCAGCTGCAGTTTGGTGCATGTGAGACCCTCTTTACATGCATTATTGTTTGTTAACAGAAAATGTACCAAGACTGCGGCAATTTTTTTTAAATGCACAACACTAAAACAGAGGTGTGAATGTAGACACAAGTTTCAACTTTCCATGGAAAACAGGGCATTGTGAACTGTGCTGCCGTCCTATGTGGTCTACACATGTAATATGCTGCTCAAAAGGCCAGGCACTAGATCAGGAGTTAAAAGCCATTTGTGGCAGGAATATGGTCATTTTACCAAAAGGGACTTTTCTGGCTGGGATGTCTGCCTACCACATAATAGAGGTCAGGTTTTCTTTTTTAATCAATTCATAAAATGAATACCTTAATGGCATTTGGTTCTAGTGATGAACTACTGTTTATAACATTTTTAACATAATTATTCTATTCACTATTTTAATAATTATGATGGAGAACTGAACTGTTTTTCACTGTACTTGTACAAAACAGAAAACAAAATGTGTTTTTTTCTTGGGGACAGCCAAAATCTAAACTAGAGTATGTTAATGTACAAGAACAGCAATGGTCGAGGACAACTAGTCAGTTGCCCAAGTCACCCCACACTGTATTGGACATTTCTGTATAAGACAATGTAACACAGACTTTTCACACTTTGTAAGGTATATTTTTACACTTTCACCAAATAATAAACAACTTCTATATACCCAATATGAGTATGTCAACTATCAGGTAAACTGAAAATGAATAAGTTGAAAAGCAATCAGGCAATCAAGCACAAAAACTAATTTTAGAGATTAATTTTAAGTATTGCGCTCAAAAATACTCAAATTCTGATTTTCCACTGTAGACTGATATCACATTGCTTCCATGGCATTGCAGGAAAGCTTAGGATGAGACAAATAAGTAATACAGGACTGTCAGGTACATACTCCTAAATAAGAAAGTTGAATACTTTCTATAAGCACCTTTATAATGCAAAACTAGCAGAAATCTACCTGGCAACAAATCGATAAGTTAAAATAAATTAATGCTCAAGAGACATTTTTTGAGAAGACGATGGATATCTTAATAGCTAGAATGGAAGTATAAACCTGTGGGATAGTTAAAGACCTGTGATTATAGACTAATCTAACATTACCAGTTGTTCACAATATGTCTGTACATTCTAAATTCACAACATATATGATGGGGGGGGGGGGGGGGGGGGGGGGAGAGCTGTCTGAAGCTCCACACAATAATATAATGTATTATTATTATAATACAGGATTTATATAGCACCAACAGTTTGCTCAGCGCTTTACAATATAACAGGAGACACTACAGCAACAATACAGTTCAATACAAGAGGGATGGGAGGGTGAAATCAAGTATCAGAAATGCAACTAAAATTCCTTTTGAAGTCTGTCATAAAGCCTTAGGCAGTGTCAAGGTTGCTAAGTTGTGTTTAAAAAAAAAAATGCATAGACATAATTAGAACTTAGATTTGCAGAGATTTCCTGGGAATGGTACCAATCATATTTTGTAGTTAAGTGAGGCACCATGACCCATTTGTATATTTAATTAGGTGTTTCTCAACTATTAAAAGCATAAAAATAGCATTTTGTATTCACCATAAAATCCTTTTCTCATGGTCTATTGAGGGACACATTTTAATAAGCAAGCAACCTAGGGTTATACTGCTGCTTACAGAAGAACTGGACACTAGGCACATAAAAAAAACCCTCTTGAGCCTATGACCTCTCCTTCCTTACACCAACTCAGCTGCAGCAGGCAATCCACAGAGAACATCAGGAGAGAGAAAGAAGCAGTGTTCCTCAAATGTAATGAAAAAAGGACTTGACATTGAATACAAAAATCCTATTTTTTCTATTGTTCATTGAGGAACACAGTTGATGATAATAAGCCACCTAGGGATGTCAAAAAACAGTCACAACAAAAAGGAATCCAAAGGCATTAATCACTTGCAGAACATTTCAACCAAAAATAGCATCAGCAAAAAAGACACATTGACCATGTAAATTTTAGAGAAAATATGTGCAAAAAGATTAGTTTGCAGCCTGATGGGGAACCCAAGAAATCCTTACCAGCCTTGTGGAATGAGCTTTAAAGTGAAATTACATGCAAAAGCAAACATTTATTATATTGCAGCTTACAAATTCGATGTCGGGGCTGCACTAGTTTTCTTTTGTAGGCTCCCGTCTTATTTTCAGCTGGTGATCTAGCTAGTAAGTCTTGTTTTTCAACAGAACAAGCTATCCTGCAGATGTAGACGTTCAGACAAACCATTTAACACCAAGAGGGGTTGCTGACAATGGTCAGCTTTTATGTAAAATCTTTATCCCAAAAAAAAAAAAACATACAAAAAAAAAAAAATGTTGCAGTAACTGCTTAAAAAAGGTGTGACCGCAAGTTTGGCATCAATTTCTTAGGCTAGGTTCACATAATATGTGAGTGCACAACTACTTGTAATTGCTAACAGCAGCACGTTTTTGGTGTAGGAAAGCGTGCAGACGCATGGGGATGCCATTCTCTTGAAGCCCGAGAACCTCTTCTGGACTGGATAAAAAAGGAGATCATTCTGCCTCTAAGCAGTAGCATAAAGGTAAACCAAAAAGGGTGAACCCTTGGCAGATGCCTGAATGGTAACAGAATATCCTCATTAAGGTGAAAAGCAGAAAACACTTAGGGTAAAAAGAAGGTTCTTGGTCTTAAACACTACAAGATTTAAATCTCAAAGTTGTAAAAGGAGACCTAGCAGGTTTTAACCCTTTGCATAAAAGTACAAACTGGCGAATGATTAGCAAGGGGACACCTGAACTCTGATGGTGAAAAGAACCAAGGGTTCTACATCCAAGCACTGGAAAGAAAAAATACACAGCCCACTCTAAAAGCATGTGGGAATGATAAACCCTGTTGGAGGAAAAATTAGGAGCTTTTAAACATGGTTGAGAATAAAGAATCTGAAATGCCCTTGTATTCAGAACCTGGGTCTGAACAACCAGGCAGTTAAAAGATAGCAACTGAAACAGGGCAATATTGAAGATAATAGATGTACCTGATCTGGTAGAGGCCATGAAGAATTGGCTAACGGGGGAACAGTGTCAGCGTACCACAATCTTGAGATAAATCAGAACTATGAAAATGACTTAAGTGCACTATGCCTCGGTCCTTTGAAGTAGACGAGGTAAAAGTTTCAGCAGTGAAAATGTATAGATCAAAATAAACTGATCCACGATGTTGCCAGGGCATCTGCAGCAACCACTGTCAGGCCCTACGTCCTGAAATAAACCTGTCCAGCTTCTTGTTAAATCAAGGTGATAATAATAATAATCTGTGTCCTTCAAAGCAGACATATATTCTTAAACACCACCTAATGAAGAGACTTTCCCAGGTCCAGATGCTGTCCACCAAGAAAACCTGCCTACCAGTTTTACTCCCTGGGAATGTGTACAGCAGAAAATCCTAAAACATGAAAATTCCACCCAGGAATTTTGCATGTAATTGAGGATTGATGTTAGCCACAGCTCTGGCCCTGTCCGATTGAATCCAGACTGGATGGTTGAGGAGAACAGGGGTCCAAAGAAGTAATATCATAACTGGTTGCAGCTCTAGGTTGTTGATTGTTTAAGGTGGTTGTGATCAGAAAAAATCAAAGATTACAAACAAGATGCTCCAAAATTCCACCCAAACCCAGAAGAAACCATCTGCTGTGACAACCTTCTATTGTAAGGGAAGAAAAAGCCCTGCACTTTGACAATGCCAGAAACAGAAGCTACCATGACAGACATCCTAATTTGAGGATGTAACCAGATCATTACATCCAGAGAAAGAATGGAATTGTCCGACTCCCTGAAAATGTTAAGTCACAAGGTTCCTGAATGGAATTACACAAATTGACCGTTTCCCCAGAATTCACATGCAGTTCAACAGGGAAGACCAAACGATGGGACTAAAGTTGCAGAAGCAGACTTTGCGATTTCATCAACTTCTCCTGTGTCAGAAGGAGGAAGAACTTGGTCTGAAAGTAATACAGGAGGAGGCCCTAGCACTCAAAGTGATGTGATAGAACCAGAATCCATCCAAAGGCCTCCAAGGTCTCCAGTGTGACACAAAGGAGTCCAGGGCCAAGGAGGTCTGCTTTAGCTACATAAGATCCTCCAGTAATCTGATAACTGGAATGTCAGTGAGGTTAAGACAACCCAGAACTGGTGCGTGAACCTTGTGATTGCTCACAGGTCCAAGGTGAGGGTCAAGGTATGAGCCACAAACAGTAAGTAGTCATCAACCATAGCAACGTGAGGAATCACCAACAGAGAAGCAATAACTGAACAGTTTCCATATGCAACTTGACATACAGAGAATCTTGAAATCCAACATAGAATGAATGCTTCTTTTGAATTTTAAAACTAAAAACAAGCTTGACTAGAAAAACCTTCAGATTTGTACAGTTGAAGGTAAAAGGAATTGCCCTGGTTCATGAACCTTGAATGGCTGACAAACGGTCCACCCGACATTGATATTTTGCATTGCAACATTTTGGATGTTAGCAAAGTGGAGGACGAAAACAAAGCTATTTTGTAACCTTAAGGCAGCCCAAAGATTATGTGATTTTCTTTCCTTCCACCATGGGTGGAAAGAAAGAAAAACGCTCAATTCTCCTGTCAACACAGTCAGTGTTGATGGGGGGAATCCCTTCCGCAGCGCTAGTGTATTCTGCCAGCGGTGGAGCTTGGGGAGCCTACCCGGGCAGCAGAATACAATGGTTATGGCTAGGGGCTATAGCTGCTGGCAGTAATCACATGCCGAAAAATCAAACAGGCTGGCTGTACCCAAGTCAATCGATGGATTAACTTGAGTACAACCAGCCTTCCTATACATAGTTCGAATTTCGATCCAGGTATGGCTGTGCTTTACATACAACCTCCTACATCTGTGTGTGTCGACTATGTGAGTTGCAAAAGCCATCAGGTGCCGCTGCTGCTCCTCCGCTAAGATGGAGCATGGGGGAACCAGCCTTCATGCAGAGGTGGGTTTATCCTTTATTTACTAAGGGCGTTTAAAAACCCAGAGCCCAAGGAACTGGAAGATGTCTTGTAAGTCTGGGAACTGGAACCTGTTTTGAAGAAACTTTTTTTGATGCAGGATAATGTGTCAACCTGTGTGGGTAATCCTTAGCTTTGCACAGTTGAGATACTCTTACCCTAGCTGCAATTAATTTTATTTGTCCAGTGAAGAGCCAAACAGATAGCCTTCCACGAAGCATTTATACACTGTTACTCTGATGACCACCACTTAAGCCAGAGCACCCTGCAGATCTGGAATGAAGAAAGGGTTTAACACGACAATCTAGTCAATGCTTTGATAAAATGTCAACATTAATTGCCGCTAAATCGCTGATAGGCAATTTAAACCAGTCAGCAATGGACTGGGTAGCGAGTGCAGAGGCAAACATGGGTTGAAGATCCTACCAAGGAGTAGATGGATTGAGAAATTGCTTCAAGTGTGTGTAAATGTAACAGTGATTTTCTTATTTGCTCTCTTTTGGTCTGTTATAATAAAACACTTTCAATAGTTTATCTGTTTGACAAACTACAAAACACCTCCCCCTATTAAAAGAGAAGAGAGGGGGAGTGATATAGGCCTAACAGTGTTATGTACTCCTAAAACACTACTTATCCTAGGGTGACAACACTGCTTGTACGGTAGTCACCCTAGGACAGAAGTATAATAAAAGGATTTTCCGGTAAAAATAAAGAAAAGTGTGAAAAAAAGAAAACTAATGCAGAGCTCATATTTAAAAGAGGCAAGCTGCAATACTATCAATTTTTGTACTTGAATTATGATGCACTTTAGGGAAAGACACAGGTGGTAAAACTACGGGAAGAAATGCTGTCCCCAAAAGGATAGAGCAACAGGAATGATTTATAGGCAAGGAATAACAGAAACCTCCCATTTTAAAGTTGAGGCACAACCTCAATAACAGAGACAGTTCTGTTGTGCGGTTTCCTCCTCTAAGGAGAGGAGGGACTCGGCATCCAATAACAAGTCCACTGGAGGATCCTCAATAGAATTAAACATATTAGGCATCGGAGTTAGATTCCACTGGGGAATGTGGCAGTGGGTATTTTAAGACCAAAAGAAGAAGGGAGAAGAGGGTTTTAAAAACAGCTGGAGAAGCATACAGTTCTGACTAAAAAGGTGCAAAAAACAACAGTTATTTCCCCAATATCCAGCAGAAACTCAATAGCGGTTTATAGCAGACAAAAAAATTTAATAACAAAAATGTAAGTCAAAAAATGTCACAAAAAGAAAAGTGACATCCATTCTTCTAAGAACACCAAGTGAAACTGAGCAGGTGTGAGGTCAGAAGAGTTATAGACTCAAGGGGGCTGGCCTTTAGCTGTGCAAAATGTATTTCTTCAGTATGCAGAAACATAACTCTAGTTCGCTTAATACCTTCAAGGTGTATCCTTCAATGAATGATAAAGAGTCATTTTTAAATTAAAGTGGCATTCCCAACTAATCTTCACACCTTTACGATTGGGTAACATATGCGCACTCCTAGTAGAGAGACTGGGCAGTCAGTGACAGCCCTGGGTCTCCACAAGCGATGGGGACCTAGGGAAACCAAATCCCGATCACATGATCGCTGTGAAAGTGATCATTCAATCTGGAACCCGCTCCTGTGTTTTTCCTCTGTGAAGAAGATAAATAACTCACTTTCCCTCTAGCGACGAGGAGAAAATATGTTGAGGGAGATTTACTGAAACAGGTTCTCACAGAATCTGGTTCAGCTGTGCATAGCAAGTCTCCCTTAATGTATTTTCTCCTTGCTAAAGGGAAAGTGTGCTGTATATCTTCTTCACAGAAAAGAAACCGCACAGGAGTGGGTTACAGACTGAATGATCACGGTGACAGCCAATCAGAGGCTATCACAGCAATCATGATCGGGATCTGGTCTAGATCACTTGTAGAGACCCAGGGCTGTCCCTGACTGCCCAGTCTCTATGCTACAAGTGCGCATATATTACCCGGTCATATTGTAAAAGCTTGACTGACCAAGCTGAAATTGAAGCCGATTGGTTACTATGCACAAGTGTACCGCATTCTGTGTGCACCAGTGTTAGTAAATCTCCCCCATTTTCCTCCCCTAGAGGACATGTCTGCAAAAAAATAAAGGTGGACTAGTTTAGTGCTCAATCTAGTGCAGTGAATGCTAGTGTGTTTTAGGCAAGAAAAAAATGTTTTATATTTATAAAGTGCCATTACGAATGTTTCAGTGTATTCAGGTAGGACAAAAAAAAAAAAAAAAAAAAAAATGGTACTAGTTTCTTGGCCCCACGGGTAAAAAGAACAAGTCACACATGTGGTATTGCCGTGATCTTCAGGAGTAGAATTTGTTTTGCAGTTTGTTTGGTGGCGGTACATGGTAATGGCACAAAATTATACAGCTAAATTAAGAAAAAAAAAAAAAAAACAATCTTTTTTACTATTTTGGGCCAGTTTTCCTTTGATAATAATAAAAAACAACTATCAGGGGATATCTATTAACATATCCCACCAAATGAAAGCCCAATCTGCCCTGAAAGTAAGAAGGTATAATCCTCCAGGACAAACTAAGTAGTTGCAATATGTACAGTTGTACCAACACATATCAAAGTTGTGAAATTGGGACTGGGCGTTATGGTCGGTTTTGACCCTGGCCATGGAGGGGTTAAAAATGATCTCCCCTCCTAGCACCTATGTTGACTAAGTTCTGTAAGAGAGACGCATATACTTGTTTATTTTTAGGCCGCTGTGGTCTGGTCACATGATCCGGCTCCCCTGCCAGTCATCGTTGGCTGCAGGGAGAGGAGGGATCACTGACAGTGGATAGGCCAGAGGAGCCTATGGGTACCTGTGATGTCCCTGCTCTCAGGCATTCCAGTCATTATCAAATTCTCACTCTGCTCCACTGCAGATGCCACTGACTGACACAAGGGAGATCACGTGACTGGACTGAAGCAGCCTGAAAATAGGTACCGTAAGTATATATAGTCAGCATAGGCACAAGGAGGGAGCATGTATAGGATTAGTTGGGTATAGCCAGGAATTCTACTAACACCCAAATGCAGTGAAACTAAAACTCCTTCCCTTGCAGTGGGGCTGCACCTGTATTACAAGGTTCAACTGTTTGTTTGTGTCTAAGGGACAGGAAAACCAGTTTTATTACCTGAACCTCAACTCCTTAAGGTTTCAGGGGTGGACAGTGTTTTAGATGTCATCAAGACCAATGCAGGGTCCATAGCCTGCAAGAGGGAGCTGAGGACTTTAGTCTGCCAGAGTATAGGAGGGAAAAAAAAGGCTGTAGGGACCGGTCTAGCAGCCTGGAGGATCAAGCACAGTAAATAAAAAGTGCTTTGCCAAATCCCATAGATCTAAATGAGCAGTTTTAGCTTTCCTAGAGTTCAGGTATAAGTACACGCCTGATAAAAGTTATTGTCCTAAATACCTTTTAATACGTGTATAATTTGTAGTTGTACTGATTTAAGTGTATGTATAGCCATTTTTTTAAATTTTATTGTTTATTTTTTTTTTTTTACACTTTTTAATAGAAAGGGATTAGAAACCCAGTCAGGTTTATTTATTGGTGTCTGTATTCCTGCTGGGGAGACTTTCCCTTATATTTGTCCTAGTGGCAAACACTGGCAAGAAAGAAAAATTAAGGGAAAACCAAAGTTAAAATTGTCACCAAAAAGAAGAGGTAGGGGTAAGGGCTAACACTGACAAGCATTGTTTTCCTACATTTGATGTATGATTGGAACACACAGCGAACACAAGTCAGCAAAATCCCAGGAATTATAACTGAGCAGTACACTTGTCAAAAAACAAAACACAACACTAAGAGGGATATTCCCTTAATGTTTTTAGAGATATTATTACGTGTTTCATCTTGGTATGGTTTCTGTGTTCTAGACCAGAGGTTTTTTTACATGAAAATATTTACATTATTGTATGTCGGCAGTCAGTCAGAGATTGTGCCTCAGCCAGTCAGAGAAAGCTTTGTATGCAAAGAATACAAAGACACCTATGAATGGACCGACACTATTTTGTTTCAGGTGTGAAATGGAATTCTGATGGAAGGCTAACATCTAGGACCCAGCACTACTGAAGCTACATACACTTCATACATTGCTTAGAGCTTGGGTTACATTTGTATGTAAGTATATTCGGGGGGGAGCCCCCCCCCCCCCTTTTTTTTTTTTTTTTTAGGTAGTCTGCCTGTCAGATTTATATAGAAACCTGGTGGCTGCAGCCATTGGATAAAAAAAAAACCCTGCTGGCAGGTCCGTACATTGTACCTGGCAGCGAAAGGGTTGAAGCATTTGCCCGTCTACAAGTCCAACGCCTGTGGACACAGGTCCTTTGAGCACTTTAATATAATTTTAAATGCACTTTAAGCAAACAGATGAGAAAGCAGCAGACTGCTATTTTAGATTTTGTAAGCTACACAAAAAATAATAGCGCGGTTAGCTATAATGTGGTAAAATCTGATCAAAATTAGAAAAGATAAATGTGAAAAAAAAAAAAAAAAAAAAACACTACTCACCGCTTTTTTGCCAAGTTCTGTCTTCGACAGCGTCAGAGTGCCACTGAGGTAGCAGCCTGGTCCAGCACCTTTAGGTATTCTGTTGAACAGAAGACAGAATATGAAATAGAAATATCCAGATACACCTACATTGTTACACACAGCTGCTCTGATGTTGCTTTCCAAGTTAAATTGGTATTTTACATGCACTTTCATTTCATAAAATGATATTATACATGTAGATTCGTAGCAAACAAGGTTCCTTGAAGAAGAAGATGGTGTTAAAAATAAATGTTGCCTCAATTTTTTAGTTAGAACTGCACTCTGGAAGGGTGACATTAAACCCCATTTTTTGCACAAATGCCACACACTGTACCCATGACAGTCTACAATCATCCCCTTAATATCTGCCTCTGTGTATATAGGAAAATAAAGAAGTACAACTGTAGAATAGTTTGATGTTACTGAGGGTTTATGTACACTGATGATTGAACAATTGTATGAATTTGGCTGCCAACAATGAACGCCATTGTGAACTCATTTTGCAATCCAATTTCAATTACCAGCCCTGGGGTGTTTTGGCTTCTTTGGTCCTAGAGACAATAGTTGATTGCCCAAAGCTGGTCAGATAGATCATAATTTGGCTGGTTTAGCAGGAACCAAATGAATTTCAATTCAATCGACTTCGGTACAACCAGCCTGTCGGTATTTTTTGTGCGATCACTGCTGATGGCTATAGCCTCCAGCAATGATCATTGTATTCTGACAGCTGGGAAACTTCCCACTGTCAAAATACAATAGTGCAGCGGGAGGGATTTCCCCATCAACACTGATTGATGAGAAAATCAAGCGATTTTCTTTCCTTCAACCTGTGGTTACATCTTGGTGAAAAGTCAGACAAAGCCAATCTGTTTTGATGGTCCAAGACTCCACCCTTCATCAGGGATAGGAAGCTGGCTATAATCAAGGCTTATACTGGACACTCAATTCTGTGGCAGCACAGGTTATGACAGTAGTGTAATCTCCAGCTGACAGCCTGGAGATGAGAGCTTGGCTTTGTCTTCTCACTTTTTACCATTAACTAATAAACTGGACTTTAACTAAACTGTGGTGCTCTCAACTTTTTACACTTACTTTGTTAGATACCTCACATAAAAGAGATCTAGATCTATCTCCCTTTAACTGGAGATCAAACATGTTTTTCCGTTTTAGATCCAATGCTCGAAACACATTTTTTTTTGACAAGTGTGTCTTCTATGGGACTGGTCACAGTCTTGGTAATCTGAGACTCAGGTCAACTATGGGGAATAAAAGACCATTTCCTGACTAAATCCTTTGCAAAAGGATAAAGTGCCAGGAAAAGTTTGGTGGCAAGAAATTGTTTCCCAGGGTGTTACCAATCTTTGTAGATAAAGATCCTTTGAAAGTCTGAATCTATGCGAACAGAGTCCAGACATGTTGGGAGAAGGAACAGTGGGCTTTCCCAATTCTAAAGTGGACCACAAAGCATTGATTAAATGGGTTCCTTCTATTTAGATGAAATTCAGCTGATGAACACTTTTCCTCTAGGGAAGGGAGGGACTATGTACAAGAAGGAACCCGCTTGTCTCTACACCAAAGTCTGCTGGAGAAGACAGAAGTGGGCGTTTTAACTTGTTCTCAGGAGGAGACACAAACTGCACTAACTGGGTCATAAATTCTTGAATGCCAGAAGAAAACACTGCTGCCGTAAGGTAGGTAGAGGAATGAGCAACTAAAGATGATAAGATTGCGGGTCAGAAATGGCCGATTATGCAGACAGTTTCAACTAGGATACGCGGAAAGCACAATCTTTCCCTGAGCCAAATTTAGTCTTGAGTTGGTGGATTGACTGCAGTCATAGGGCACCTACTTATTTGTTTAGTACCAGACATAGTTGCATTTTAAGAAATAGAGCTAACCCAATGCCCAAGACCTCCTACTCAAGAACCAGCTGAGCTGTAGAGGGTATTCCAATGCCACTACAGGTACTGTGAAAATCATCTGTCTGAGTCTTCTGCATCTTATGGTTCAGGCTGTCAGAGGAGGTGCACAGAGATTGTGAGTGGAGACGAAAAAAAATAAAATAAAATAAAGCAGCAGTGGCAGAAGTGCTAGTTCTCAGCATTGTTTCATGGGCAAACCCCCTGGTGAGAAGGAGAGCTGGAAGCATGTATTGTGCTCAATCAATGTTGCATCATCCATGTCTGACCCTAACAGGAGGAGCGGCAAGAAATTGAAAAAGGCAGTTTGAGCAAAACAAAGCTCAGCTGCTCTCGAGTTTCATGTAGATAGACATCAGCCCTGGACCTGTATAGCGCACTCTACAGCTATCTACACTGAACCAAGTGCCGAGATGAGCTCACAGAGGATCCAGTGCCTGAAGCAACATTACAGGCTCTCTCAGTGGAGTGGGGTCCAGGTAGTTCCCAAGGTTTTACTGAATTTGCACTGATCTGGACACACTGTTTCTACTGTTGTAATAGAACACAGTGAGAAGTTTACTGAGTAATCCAAAGTAAAACAAACTATGTGAATGCTCACCATGGATCCCTTATTTCTGAAAAATAGCAGCTGCTGTTTAAAGAAGTATCAAACCAATACTTCCTGACAAATAATAAATGGAATTATACAACAATGCTAGCCCGAAAGGTTATATCAATTGGTATCATGTGAAACCTAAAACAATAAATCATATCCCATCAGCGTATATATATATATATATATATATATATATATATATATATATATATATATATATATCAATTTGTTAATATGCATATAAAAATAAATCATTGCAGATATGTCATAATTTATTGATATAACCTTTGGGATAGCACTGTTACATATTTCCATTAATTCAAAATAATAAACTAGTTTAGCAAAAAATTATTTCTCTGTAAGGTTTATCACCAAAGGGCACTAGCAAAAAAAACTGTGGTCTAAGGGAGTGTGGTAGGATTATAGGGGTATGCCCAGGGGATGTGTCCAGAAAATATTTGCCAGTGTCCAGTTACTCGACAATACCAGCCTATTACCCAGTGGCAAAGAATATCCAGCCTAAGTCCTGTAATGTACAATTAAGATAGGAGGGTGCTCACAAATCTCTAGAACACCATAAATAACTTTCATGATTCTACCAGTAGTAGTTGATATTAGAAAAAAACACCTTCCAATGTAAGCAAAAAAAAAAAAAAAAAATAGATGGGAAAGAAGCATCCAGTCTCATAAGGGCACTAAGTGCAATTAAGCAAGAGTGAGGTGGAAAGTGTTCTGTAGGTAGCAGTATAGCACTAGATTGCTTATTAGAAAGTGGTGTCCCTTAATGGATGATAGAAAAGATAACATTTTTGTTACAATAATTAATGGTTTGCTCACCGGCTACTTACTTATCATCAGGCAACATTGTAACGAAGAAAGGCTGGCTGTGTTTTGGTGGCAAAGTTATTGTATTGACCTTTTTCTTTCCCAAAAGAGCCAAACTGTGACTTTCATAAACATCCAAACTCAAAGTGTTTGACATTCTATGAGAAACCACAAAAGGAAGGTCTTTCAATCGTTCCAATTCAGATATCTGCTCATGGCGGACCTGCATTCGGATTGTATAATCTCCTTTTTCAAGTTTCACAGAATACTGGAATGAAAAACCACACAGAAGATCAAACATCATGTAATAGATCTGTAGATCTCCCATCGACTGCTTTATTCCCTAGTCAATGTTAGCCCTACCACCATCCTCAAATGATATAGTATTTCCAGTGGTTTTTTTTAAATACATGGAAAAAGAAAGAAAAATATAATTATTTTTGTGTTAAAATACACCTGAATATAACATGCAGAACATTCAGATACATTAGGCACATGCTAAATGCAGCAGTGTGTACTGTAAAATATGTTTATGGAAAAAAAATTTAAATGCAATCAGGAGTGATCCTTTATTTACATGACCACTACAAAACTGAAGTTTGTTTGTTGCAGGTTACTGCACATCCTTGCTTCCTTCACTGCACTGCCGAAACTCACAGCAACAGTCTGATACAATCTAGAGAAAGAACATCTGAACCTTTCCTTCAACCATCAGCTTGCCAAAAAGATATTCTCTCCATTGAGATAAAAATGTAATCCTTTAAAAAGGCAAAGTTCACCTTAAAAAAAAAAAAAAAAAAATAAAAAAAGGAGGTATATATTTTTGTTATTCAGGCACCTGCAAAGCATTGCACCACAATCAGCAGATCGCAGGTGCAATGTCAGGCTTCTGCAGACTCTCAGTATAGCAGTCTGCCCATACCTCAATTGCAGGAAGAATCAAACTACAAGCTGTCTGTCGAGGTGGCAGATGGTACTTGTAGTTCATTCATTCACAGTTATCTGTGAATGAATGAATGAATGACATGGCTGTGCTGGCAGAGCGCTGATGGGCATGCATGGGAAGATGATTTCACACCCGTTATCACAATGGAGGACCAGGGAGGTGTGGGCAGGTGACATGTTACACCCTGAATATAGGTTACCAAAGGTGAAGTTATCCTTTTCATATTAAGCCGAGAAGAGATCAACAATACCTGGTGCGGGTAGGCATCTCCTGCTCCCATCTGTCTTTTGTTCTGGTCGTAGATAATCCATAACTGGCTATCATACTCTGATTCGTACAACAACTCACAAAGCAGCGGGCAGCTAGGTGTCACTTCTCCACTTTTGGGCTTAAATTAAAACACATGAAGAACACTCACTTTATAAATAAATAATTTCATTATGAAAAAGTAAGTAGTTTTGCATATAAAATGCATAACTATGATTACATGGACCAGCCAACCGTTCCAACAACTCACATGCAAGAATTCATGCCAATTTATATTAGAATTCTTAGTATCCATTTAAAACAAAACAAAAAAAAACACCATGGAGATAACCTGTGGTAAAAGTGAAGGAGAGTGGCCCCATCTGGCTTTTTCACAGTTAAAAAAACTTAACCATTTGGCTGGATTTCCAATTTAAAGTGTTTGTAAAGGGCAAAGGTTTTTAAAACCTCCAGTGTACAGCTTCCCTGCACCCCACCTAATACTTACCTGAGCCTGATCTTGATCCAACGATGTGAATGACAGCAGCGGCTCTCCCAGGTCGCTCTCATTGCCTGAGATTCAGCAGCGGGAGCCAGTGGCTCCTGTTGCGGTCAAATCACAGCCAGTGAGGAGAGAGCGGCACTGTCCCCATAGACATACTGAGCAGGCTCGGGAGCGAGCCTGCAAGAGTGCCCTAAGAGCAAGTAGTTGGCAGGGGACCAGGGCTGCTCTTTGCAAATCTAGCAGTAAGTATGTGTTTATTATTTTAAAGAAAAGAAAACTGAGCATTTAGAACCAAATTTTAATCACTTATTTGAAGCAGAACTGAAAATTAAAAATTAAAATTATGGCCACTAAATTTAACTCAGAATTTTGTGGTGGAAAGGATTCACGGAAGCAGCTCTAGACTGAGGTAAGTATTGCAGGAAAAAACGTTTTTTTTTTTTTTTTTTTTTTTAATTATGCTATTCATTTGCAAGCCAAATTCAAGGAATTTAACCACTTAGCTACTGTCATACATTTTTCAACAGCGGATCGGTGGCTCTTTATTTCCCCTAAGCTAGATATATGGGCACTGTACCCAGTCAATCTGAGGGGCTGGGTACCATGTGATCGCTGTGATTAGTCATCACAGCATTCACATGGTACTATTTACACTTCTGATCCCTTCTCTTCCCCTTACAATAGGGGCAGGAGAGATCAGATATATGAATAGGCAGAGAATGCATGAATCAACTGCAGATCCATTCATTCATTCTGTTGCAGTGACAGAGGGATTTTTGTTTGTTTGCCTGTTTAACCACCTCACTACCACCATATGTATATATACGGCCTTGTCATGGGTAGTTATACCAGGATCATGGCTGCAGCTACAGCCATGATCCTGCATGTAATCGCTAACAGCTTCATTCACAAATGTTAAATGCCTAAATACACCAATGCAAAAGCAAAACAAATCCACTGCAGGCTAAAAAGGATTTTTTTTTTTTAATAATTAACTCACTGCTCACCTGATGGAAATTATAACTTAAAACTATTTCATATAATTGACGGTTGTTTGGCAAAATATCACGGGCTCCCAGAGGTCTCGTCTTGGAACTGACAGGCCTGTAAATAAACAGCTTTTATTAGCTAGATGCAAAATATGAATATTTAGACTCCTGTGCCCCCTTTTACATGAAGCAGAGATTATGAGGTTGCATACTAAAAAAGCAGCATTCAATTGACTGAGCTTAATAAAAGGATGAAGCTGTGTTCACTTCAATCATGTCTTAGCAAAAATCGCCCTCCCCACATATGATATGGTATTTAAAGTGAACATAGGTTCTCTCTACATAAGCCTGGTGTTCTAGCATTTCTTGTAAACTGGCCAAAACGGCACAAAGGCTACACATTGCACAGAAAATCGTCCCACCCTTTATGTAATCTAGCAAGATAAAAATGTGGCAAGGTAGGTGCATTTCACCTGCTTTAAGCCACTTTGCATTCCTACATCAGGATATAAGCCGTTCTGAAATTTACAAAAGCCCATTGACACAGGCTTTTATGAAAAGGTATCGTGTGATCCAAAAGGATTTTTTTAAAGACACACTAATTGTGTATGTAAAGAAATACAATTGCACATATTGGAAGATCTCTGCCACTCTGGTTTAAGTTACTTCAGGACTTTACAAATCCTAGAATGTGGAAAACATTGAACAGCTTCAAAAGTCTGCAAGAGTATGCTTACTGCTGACCTGCACAACATGTAGCACTTTATGAGGATGCCACCAGACCTGCATTGTTTAATGGATGAATGTATCAAGGAGGGGAAATTAAACCCCCTAGGGTCCAATCTTATGTTTCTTTTTACAGGTACAATTGAAACGTTGTACAATGTACTAAACACATGTTAAACAATTTAAGTCAGGATTAGTTGCCATTACTCCAAGGAGCAACAGATCTCCATGCAAATTGGTAATATTGTGCTTGTGAAAAGATACCAAACCAGACAGCATAGAAAATCACATATAACGTCCTCATAAATTGGGAGAACTTAGTTAAGTGAACATGAAAATGTAAGCCTTCTCATACAAGAATCAGTAAAACTACCAAAGCCTATTAGCCACCATTTTCAGCCCCTACTGAAAACCGTGCAGCTGAAAACATTTGTTGCAGTCAGTATCCCATACAAGCATTTTAAAAGAAAACAAGAAAGTTAAAAAGGAAAAATACCTTAAAGTTTGTACCCAATTTTTCAAACTAATGCTGGGAGACAAATCCTCATACTTTAAAGTAGAGAATACATCAAAACGTGCTGTGCCTTCAGATGCATGCTGCAAAAATTAAAAATATATAATTATACAAGAGAAAGCAAACTAAACTAACAAAATAAACCCATATAGCTATTTGAAGATCCTAAGGAAAAAGTAGACTGCTCATATATGGGCAATATGCATTAAAGTGGTAGAAAACAAATTTTTGCCTAAAGGTTAGCTTACAATAAGGCTTATCTGCAGGTAAAAGGAATGTTTCTTAAACGTTCACCATTTAGGATATATTTTAGTGAGTGGCAGCCAGTGACATCATTGGCGCATTTGCTCTGAAGGAACAGCATGCCTTTGCTGTTCCTTCAGAGCTGTGTGCCGCAGAAGTGACATCATCACAGATTGGCCATTCAAGCAGCCGCAGCCTGCAAACCCAGAAGGATTGGGTGAAGATGGAAGCCTCTGCAGCTTTGACAGCGCACAGCTGGAAGGCTTTGTTTTTTTAGGCAAGTCTTTTATAATGTACTATTATGCGGTGCATACTAGCACATTGTAATATTGCCTTGCAGGAAGAAACTTTTAGCGATTAGTGAATTGAAGCAAGACAACAAAACCTACAGTAGATGTTTCAATTTACTCAAATATATAAATTAAAGCTACACTGAACAGCGCTTATTCCAAAGCACAGTAAAAACAGTTATATACACACACATACTGTATATATTTATGAATGTATCACCAAACAAAAAACAATTAAATACAGACCATTGCCTTAAGACATAAGTCAAGAATATTGGGTACAAAATTTATAACAATCACAAAATTAACTTAGAACTTATCATACAGTTGACTAGCTATAATAAAAAAGCAGCAGCAGCGTGTTGATAAGTCATCACATTAACCTGTGCACTGCAGCAGCAGAGCCAAGCTGGCTTCTAAAGGTAGCTCACCTGCTCCCGGTTGAAGAGCTGCAGTGCAGAGTATTACAGGAGGCTAAAATCAAGTACTTAAACTAGCTGCACATCTGCAAGGAACTTAATTTTCATAATGCTAATATAATTTTATGTTTAAAAAATAGAACAGTATCTGCACAAAATAATTATATAAAGCTCTGCAAGACAATCTGAAATGTTCTCTCATATGATGACCCCATACAGCTGTAACTGCTGATTAAATATTACTGTAATGGAAGACAAAACTTACGATGTTCAGCTGAGATTGTCCACAAACAAGCCCATGAAAGGAAATCGAGTAATCAATATTCACATCACTGAGACTTGCCCACCAGCGTGCAATGCAAAATTCAATGGTTTTGCCACTCTGCAATAAAAACAAAGAAGAACCAGCTAAAAAAGTTAACACAAAAAAAAAAACAAAACAACACTCAGGGAAAAAAAAAACAACACACACACACACACACACACCTAGAAAATCAAGGACATAGGCATGCAGACTGCTTCTACAAATATCTGTGAAAGAATGGGTCGCTCTCAGGAGCTCAGTGAATTCAAGTATGGTACTGTGAAAGGTTGCCAGCTGTGCAATAAGTCCATTTGTAAAATTTCCTTGCTACTAAATATTCCACGGTCAACTGTTAGTGGTATTATAACAAAGTGGAAGTAACTGAGAACAACAGCAACTCAGCCACAAAGTGGAAGGCCATGTAAAATGACAGAGCGGGGTCAGCCCATGCTTAAGTGCACAGTGTGCAGAAGTCACCAACTATCTGCAGAGTGAATAGCCAAACGTCAGATTAGCACAACAACAGTGTATAGAGAGCTTCATGGAATGGGTTGTTATGGCCGAGCTGCTGCATCCAAGCCTTACATCACCGAATGAAATGCGTTGGAAGCAGTGGTGTAAAGCACACCTCCACTAGACTCTAGAGCAGTGGAGACATGTTCTTTGGAGTGATGAATCACGCTTCTATGTCTGGGTTTGGTGGTTGCCAGGGGAATGGTGCTTGCCTGACTGCATTGTTCAAGTGTAAAGTTTGGTAGAGGGGGGATTATGGTGTAGGATTGTTTTTCAGGGGTTGTGCTTGGCCTTTTAGTGCCAGTGAAGGGAAGTTTTAAGGTGTCAGCATACCAAAACATTTTGGACAATTTCATGCTCTCCCAACTTTGTGGAAACAGTTTGGGGATGGCCCCTTCCTGTTCCAACATGACTGCGCACCAGTGCACAAAGCAAAATCTATAAAGACATGGATGAGAGAGTTTGGGGTGAAGGAACTTGACTGACCTGCACAGAGTCCTGACCTCAGCCTGATAGAATACCTTTGGGATGAATTAGAGTGGAGACTGCGAGCCAGGCCTTTTCGTCTGACATCAGTGCCTGACCTCACAAATGTGCTTCTGGAAAAAATGGTTAAACATTCCCATAGACACACTCCTAAACCTTGTGGACAGCCTTCCACGAAAAGGTGAAGCTGTTCTAGCTGCAAAGGGTGGGCCAACTCAATATTGAACCCAACGGACTAAGACTGGGATGCCATTAAAGTACACACACACACAATGGTTGATGTGCTTTTAATTAGTACCTGTACTGTTAACACATTAAAGGCACACATTGATATGTTTGGAAGCCCATTGAAATGAATGGGCTGTCAAAACTGCAAACATGGATAAAGTAGTGTATGCACTACTTTTGCAAATACGCGGTACTGCAGTTTCATGCTGTTTGGTGGCCGCAAGCACACTACATTTGGAGTGGCCAGCACTTTAGTTGTGGGAAACATCCATGAAATGTGCCTTTCCTGCACCACGTTCTGGTGTGAACAGGCCTTAAATCAAGATAACAGAAGCAGTTTAAAAAAGATGTAGAAATTTGTCTACAATTTTGTAGAAAAAAGCCTGCAGGAATTCAAAGTCACTGGTTCAAGCTTGCTCTTCAACACTGTCCACTGCCATTAAATCTCCCCATAATTTTGAGAGACAGTCATGGCCAGTATAAATAGAGGCTTTTATAGAAATGCTTTAGCAAAAGATTTTACCACTGCTTAAGCTATGGATGCAATTAAGAAAACAAATAATAGGACGACTCTACATTCATAGCTTGCTGTACCACAAATACAAGTATGTCTCACCAGAACAGGAAATGCTTCTGTCACTGAGCCATTTTCAGGTAAAGAAGTGAATTTGTAAAACTCATGACTTCGGTAAGCCTTCTGCTTAACCAGCTGAACAGCATGCAGAACAAACTTAGAGGCCACATCAGAAGAACGGGAAGTCACATTAACCTCTGGAAAACAGAAAGTTGACAAAGAGAAACACTTGTTTAAATGATATAACCTGCAGTGTTTTACAGTATCATTTTTAATATTGTGGAAATGCAATTGAAGTGAAGTGTATCTGTAGCCAATTTTGAGAAATCGCCACTACATCTATCTCTACAGCAGGCATAGAAAAGAATCACTCCCCTTTAAAATCACATTTTGTTGATTTGCAGTCTGAAATGAAGACAGACACAGTTTTTGTTTTATCCCTCTGTATTTACTAGGGATGCACCAAAATTTCAGCGGCTGAAACACATTTGCTGAAAATAGCCCTATCGGCATTTTGCCAAAAGGAAAGAATGAGCCGACGTGCCAAACTGAGAGACCTGGCCCCAATGAGGGGCAGACTGACTATCGGGCTGGGATTTTTTGGGGGGCTGTGTGTACTGCAGATGGGGGAGGGGAGGCAGTAGAGGAAGTAAGCAGTGAATACAGCAAGGGAGCAGTGTATACAGACAGGTTCCTTCACTTGCAGCAGCTAAATATCATTGCCGGTTTTTACATGCAATTGCATTTTTTCTTCATTATAGCTCCCAGAAGGAGCTCTCATTTGCCGCTAAGTAAACAAAGGGGTGACACCGACTTTTGTTTACTTTAGCGGCGGGGCAAATGACAGCTCCTACTCAGAGCTATAGTAAGGAAAAAAAAGCTAGTAATTGCATTTAAAAACTGGCAATCCCATTTAGCAGCGGCCAGTGAGTGAGCCTGTCTGTATACACTGCTCCCTCACTGTATACACATAAAAAAACCTTCTCGGTGCAGCAGCTCCTCCAGCCCCCCCCCCCCCCAATACTCACCTGAGCCCCCTCTCGAACCATTGCTGTGCACTGGAGTCTCGGCTATCCCGGGACTCCCTCTTCTCATTAGCTGAGACAGAAGCAGGAGCCATTGGCTCTGTGTGTGAATGGACATGTGGAGCAGCGGATGCCCCCAAAGCAAGCTGCTTGCTGTGGGGGCACCAGACAGGAGGGAGGGGCCAGGAGCACCAGCAGGGGACCCAAAAAGAGGATGATCTGGGCTGTTCTGTGCAAAACCAATGCACACAGCAGGCCAGTATAGACACATTTGTTATTTTTTCTTTAAAAAGCTTTAAGAATCCCTTTAAAGACTGCAGTCCACAAACAGTCACCATCAAATTTAACTGAACTTGAGTAGTTCTGCAATAAAAGAGTGGGCAAATATTGCAAAGTCTAAATGTGCAAAGTTAGCAGAGACACATCCCAACAGACTAAAGGCTGTAATTAATGCAAAAGGGGTTTCAACAAAATACTGACACAAGGGGTGATCCTTTTTCCAACTCCGTGACTCAGTTTTTTAAGTTTTAGTTTTTATTTCGTTTTTTTTTTTTTTTTTTTTTTCCCCTGACATGTTGGTGTTCTATCTTTCACTTGGATGTTGTAAGAGTAAATACAGCTGGATAAAAACAAAAACTGTGCCTGTCTTCATTTCAGGGTGCTAAGCAACAAAATTTGATAATTTTAAAGAGGGGGATGATTCTTTTCTATACCCACTGTATATATTTGTTATGTGTTCCTTTTCACACAGCATACCAATAAACAGGAATTTTGAATTATCTGTAAATTCCTTAACTACTAGCACAGGAAAAAAAAAAAACAGACAGGAGGGGGCAAAAATACAGAAAATGTAACTGCTAACAAGTCAGTCCACAAAATACAAGGGTTAAGAACTGAAACAAAGCTTGAGCAACTTGAGGCCAAAGCTGGCATCTGCTTAGGCTTGAACACCCACCTATTAAAATTTAGAGAATCTGTGAAAGATGATCAGGTGACAGCCTTGCAAATCTGAGATACAGATACCTGCTGTGGAAAGGCCCAAGAGATACCAGTAGATCTGGAGGATGAGCTTTGATGGAGAAGGGAAGAACCCTTAAGTGTGTAGGTCCTAGAAACTGTCCGACTGACCTGAAAGTGGTGGAGTGGGAACCAGGATGCTCTCTAGAAACAGGCAACAGAGAGAGGGACTCAGTTTTGTAAGCAGAGGTTGTGGCTGCTAGATAGACCCCTGAAAGCCCTTATCACATTAAAGCAGTGTATGGCAATTTCCTTGGCATGTCCTCAAAAGGTTTTGGTCTCAAGACCACCTTGTCCTTGTGCAATTCAAGAAAAGGCTCTTACAAGAGCTGCCAACTCAGAAATGAGCCCCACAGATGTAATGACCACCAGGAAGGCATACCTACATTTCCAATTGGTTCAAAAGAACCAAGTTCATTTTCCAGGGTGACACAGAAGGCCGAATGTGGGGATTCATATGAGAAACTTTTTGTGAATCTAAGTCTGGCCTGTTTAAAAGAGGCCAAGGCTTGTCTACCAGAAATTTGAGAATGTGTGAAGCACATCTTTCTGGGCGAATCTGGTGTAATAAGAATTACAGGAGCCCTTTCTACCTCAATCTTCAGAGGGAAGGCATACATCAGTCTGAACTGAGTCCACAGAATCACCAGGGCTTCTACTGGGAAGCCCAGAGAATCCCTGGTCTTGGCTGCAAATCGGTTCAGCTTGCTAATGAACCTAGAGGCCAAGATGTCCACATCCCACCTTTGAGAGAGACCTTTAAAGATTCCTGGAGGCAGAGACCATTCCCCAGGGTCTGTACACTGGCGACTTAGGAAATCCGCTTGCCAATTGTCCAATTCAGCGTTCTGGAGGGCCAAGAGCTGCTAAGCGTGTGTCTTCCCAGGAGAGTATTGCACTTGTTTCTCTTAGGGTATCTTGACTTCTGAAGACCCCTGATGGTTTATCTATGGGTGTCCCCATGGAACATGGCTTTCTATGGAGGCACCCACCGAAGAGGGGGAGCCTGTAGCTCCAGTGCGGGATCCCAAAAGAGGAGCATCTGGGCTGCTTTGTGCAACACCACTGCAAAGAAGGTAAGTATAACATGTTTGTTATTTTAGTTAAAAAAAAAAAACCCCAAAAAAAAAAAAAACACACACAAGATTTAATGTTGCTTTAATGTTGCAGAACAACATAGTAATGTGCGTGGCCACCAGTCAACATTTATCTTACCAGCCCAGGTTGCACCTTGAGGAACTTCTATGAAATGACGCTTTATTTGCCCAGATTTGAAAAGTACATCTTTACACTCCAAATCATACAATGCAGACTCGCTGAGCCTATACAGTACGGAAATTAAAAAAAACAGTAAATAAACTTGAGAAAAAATTCACGTTAAAAAAAACATAATTACCAATTAATCAATATGTTTGAATATAGATTTGCTAAGTTGGTGATGCAAGATAATGTTTAGATGGACTGGAGCACTCTTTTCTGAATATTTTCAGTGCTGATATCGATATCAGATATCGATGAATTCCAGGGTTAGTTCACCTTTAATAACCACATGTGCATGCAGGTAAGGAGCACTTCTAGATAAAAACAAACTGCACACTTTTCACAAAAGTTGAATGATGCCCTTGCTATAGGTTTAGGCTATTTATGTACCTCCCAAGGCCAAGCTTCCAATGTGCCTCCTTCCCTGCATAGGCAATTCTTTTGTAAAGGTAAAATAACCCATTAAGATCTCCACATATATATGCAGATTATGCATTTGGTGTGTGACAGTTTATACAAAAATAGAAAGTATCTTGTTACAGTTTTGACAAATGGAGTAAGTTAATGTTAACTTAAAGCGGAACTTTACCTATAACAACTTAATAAAAAAATAATTAATGTTCTTTAATAAGGAACATACATAACACATTAATAATTATGCTACAAAAATTAGTGTGTGCTGTAAATTGTCTCCAGCATTGGTCCGATTTCTTCTTGCTGAAGGCTGCCATTCTGCTGAAGCCCAGAGACCTTGAGCAGCAGTAAATCTTTAGACTGTCAGCAGATCAGCCTCTAGTGGCTCTGATGTTAGGCAGTGTCAAAAAAATAGAGAGCAACTGAACATGTGTAGAGAAGGGTGAGACAGTGTTTTACTGCACTTTAAACAGTATGAACACTTATTTTTAAACGTTTTACATAGCTATATCTGCAAAAGGGGCCAGCCTGATGTGATCTAGCAGGACTTAATTTTCTGGCAAAAGGACCGCCAAGTGGTAGTTTATGTGATATTTTCAGCATTAAGGGGGTGGACAGAGTTAGGGTCAAGTAGAAGGTGTAAATTTCAGGTTATATTGGGTTTATATTGTAAAGAGCTGAGCAAACGGCGCTATATAAATCCTGTATAATAATAATAAAAAAGTGTTTACAGGCCTGTCTTGAGCGGCTTTTGGGCTAGTGTTGATAACAGTTTAAAAGACTCTTCCGAGATCATTAAGAATACACTGACACATGCATTTGACATGCATCAAGTGGGTGTGGCATTCCCATGGGCTTGTTTGAGAAAGTAAAACCAGGCCGAAAAAGCCCTTCACCAAGAGAAATATGTGGGCTATCATTGCTGACCTCCTGAAAATGTTGGTTGTCATGCTGATGTGGTTGCTGCAGTACTCTGAGTCACTGAGCCAGAACATATATGCAGATCAGGACCAAGTTCCCTCTGAATTTTCTGATCTATTTGCTTGTGGTAGGTTAGTGACTATCTCTGTATTGCTTCCACAAAACAAATCCATATATAAAACTGATAACTTGTTCTGCCATTACTCACCTTGCTGGTATGACAACCGTTATAGGAACTCTGAATAATGGACCAGAAGTAGGGGCACATATATCATATCCACATATCTGCAAACAACAGTCGTATAAATATTATTGCATTTAATTTATGTGAGTAACTCTATTCTTGGACAGTGTCAAAGTAGGTTTATGTAAGCTAATGAGTATTAAAATCACAGTTATCTGTAAATATTTTAAATATTACAAAAAACATGCAATGTAAATGGTAACTTGAGTGTCTTAACCTAAACTTATGAGACAATCGTATATCTGTGGCACCTAATTACATATGCAATTCCTGCAAATAAAAAAAAAAAAAAAAAGTTACTAAACATCTGCATACATTTGTAGGCCAAGTGAGTGAGAAAGACCTATTTAAAACCTATTTAAAACTATCCAAATCAGAAAGGCCCCTGTAGTACATACAGTAGCTGCTGGTAGATCTAAAGAAGATTATATAATCAGATTGTAACGTGTGTGGTGAATTTTAAAGAGGATTGCTCTTGGTGACAGATTTGTACATCTAGGAAATCCTTAAGGAAATTTTCTGGCATACATGCTAAGTGATGTACAAATTTACTACTCAATTATCTCTGGCACAGATCAAAGCACTGCCTCTGATAGGGCTTTAATCTCTTCTCTTCAAAAAGACAGAGCATGCTTTAAATGCATTTTCCAGGGTCAGCATCTACTTTCAGAACTTTCAGGCAGGGAGGACGGCAGGTGTGACAAAACACATAGGGCGGAGCTTGTTGTGGTCAGCGCACAACCAGAAGTCTGTGGGAAGCCATTTTGATGTTACTGGCCGATGCCTGTTTACAAGGGCTTTTACTGCTTTTAAAAGTGAGTGTTCTACTTTTAAAATAAGTTACAGTTTGACTGGTATACACTATGTAAAAGCACTCTTTTTTTTTTTTTTTTCCAATCTTCGATATGTTAATACTGGGATGGATGCATGGGTGAGGAGGTTCTCCCAAGTGCATTCTGTGATGGTTATGGTTCCCCTTGCTTTCTGATGACTCCATCTAAGATGATTACCATGATGACCTGCAATTAAGGTGTTGACCATTTCTTTAATTAGAAGGTCATATAGATCTGGTAAGCCTTGCATGGTGTTACCTGGTGGAGGATCCTTTAACTTTTTGGGAGATATCTTTATCTCATAGCTGTTTGTGGATTGGTATACTACTCATCACATCCTTGATTTTGGGACTTTCATATTTTTCTACTTCACTTGTGGATTTCGATAGTTTCGAAGCATTGGATGTATATCAAAAATTGCACATTAATAATATTTTTTACATTTATGAAGTAGTGCAACAATTTTTTATTTATTTTTATATAAACCCCGTTGTCCGCAGTTTTTGGACGTATTCACAAATATCTGAAACTGATAATCTGCTTGCCTGAAGACTCTCCCCCTGCAACTTCTACAGTGATACAGTCTGATCACTAGAGTGGAGGAGGAGCTACTCTCTTCTGCCAGCAGCAGACTGATATCATCTCAGCCCAGGAGCAGGTTACCTAAAGCAGAGCTCCAGTGTCTGGCAAAAAAAAAAAAAAAAAAATACAGGTCAGATGCTAATAAATTTTAGCTGCTGTCTTTTCAAAAACAGCCACTCACCTGGCTTAAGATCCAGGAGTGTCCTCACCGCAGCCGGGTTCACCGGCCGTCCTGTGTCCCCAACATCCTAAGTGTGGACACTGCGCATGTGCAAGCAGCGCAATGCATTGTGAATGGTCCTGCAGTCCTCTTGGACCTGTCACATGTCCCAGAAGACTGCGTTTGAGATCAGTCTGAGGTTCTTCTCACTTCCTTTCTGAGATGCTTCCTTATTCCTATTGACTTATATAGAGAATTTTAGGTTTCCTGGAATTTCAAAATAACGTTGAGCTTTCAAAGATTATCTGAGGTCAGTGGTATAATAGTTCTTCCACCACCAGCCTTAGCACATAGACAGCATTCCTACCCCCATTTTGCACAGTTTTCACTCGATTTTTGAAGAAACAGTTCGCACCTAACCCTCGGAAACGACTGAGTTGGTCAAATCCCACTTTGGATATGGAAAACTGCTGGCCTTGAGACAGGATAAAAACTTTGAAACCACTTGGAAACCTTGGATTCAGTGGGTGGGACAAGTTTGATATTGTGATACTTGTTATTACAGTTCTAATACGGTCCTTACATGCTGCATGCCATTGTAGTTATTTTTACAAACTTATGGCTTTCCCTTACCTGAAGTAAAAACTTCTATTTAAATACAACATCCTATGACATCTTAACATAATTGGTGGATAAGCATAGAAAACCAAATCAGTATTGTATTGAAGAAGACATTCACAGATATGTGTAAAATGCCCACCTCTGCATAATGCACCCCTTCTCGCAGACCTCGGGGATCTACACGGACATTTATGTGTCTACACTGGTTCATCAGCTCCAGGTGGCTAGGATACTGAATCCAGGTGGCACTGGATGTAAGCGCCAAGTGAAGTTGGAGGGAAATTCTCTCGAAATTACCTGACAAAACACACATAATATACAGTGAATCATTTAAGAGACATGTTCGTTTTGCAATGACAGAGAAGATGAAAGATTTCGCATGAATATATGATTTTTGACTGGCCTGTAAAATCCTTTTCCTGGAGGAAACCAGTAAAGGACACAGGTTCCTTTAAAATTATGAAGATGGGTACATATGTTGACACCTTCAGGTGGGGGGAACATTTTTTTTTAGAACAGACCACAGAACCCCCATGTACTCCAAGAAAAGAATAAATTACAGGTAAGTAAAAAATTCTTTATTTCTTAATCATCTAGTACAGAACAGAATCTTAATTATTATCCATAGGATGTTTCGAAAAAATTAAACTGAGTGTTGGGCCTAAAAAAAAGGGGAATCAGATTCCCAGCTCAAAGAGCGACTTGAAGCTCCTTACAGCCAAGGCCAGTACATCCACCTGGAAAATCGCAGGTCAAATGCAAATATGAGAAACGGATGCCTGCGCTGAAAAGCCCAAGGGGTACCAACTGAACAAATTTAGTGAACCTTAACAGGGAACTGAGAAGGACTCCTATCCTTCAAGGCACAAGTCTTAGTGATAAATTGCCCTCTTGGACCAATGTAACAATGTAATATACTATACCTGGCTGAAAGCTGTAAATCACAGAAGCACACATCTCTATGTGCAATGTGGAGCACCTGGTCATGTTGCATTCTGAATACAGGTGGTCGATCATTCAACACAGGTACCATTCAGAAAATGCTTTGCATTTCCTGAATGAATGCAAAAGGTTCAACTGGATGGATTTGTGTCTTTTTTACAATTAGAAAAATAGAAATGTAACTAAGTTCTCTGATTGGATGAGGTGGTGAAGTAGGGAAGTAATGTCATGCTGCTCTCCGCCTCTTCCAATCAGAGAGTACTTTGTTTTCTGAATTAATGCAATGAATTAAACCATTCCAGGTATGTTTCCCAAAGGCACTGCTTTGGAGGGGTTGGTGAATTTGGAAGCTTCAATCCTACTGAGACAATGCGGTCAATGATGCAACAAGGGGAAGAGGGGATTTCTACATGTGCAGAACCAAATAAAGTCTCCAATCTTCTTATATACAGTAAGCCTGAATCCTAAGCCAGAAACCTGCTCTCAGAAAGAGGTCTTCTATCCTCTAAGGACACTAGAAAAAAAAACAAAAACTGGAGGATTACAGGAACCAGGAGTTATATGTACAGTTGTAAAAACTTTGTTTGCTAGTGTTCTCTCCCTGAAGGTGGCAACATTTAACCCATGGTCAATATTTAAAGGAGCCTGTGTACTGTACAGCTAAGAAGTAAATCTTACTGCATTATTATTCACCCATTTTATAACACCACCCTTCTACAGTATTACTGCAGCTTACCTGTATTTTCTGGGAACATTGGCTCAATGCCCACACCATGGTCTGAGGGTGCAGCAACCTGAACTGGATCCCTGAGATAAATTCCTCGGCCATTTCCAACAGAAACTGTAAAACCTATCTTATTGATTAATGAGGTGTTCTGCATGAGGTAGTCATAGGCTTTGTCAACCTACAAACGAAAAACATATAAATCAATAAAATAATGTGTCTGCCTCGCACACGCCCCCTACCCGAAAATGCAAAATCACGTATATATACACACACACGTGATTTTGTGCACCCATGCTGCCCTGTAGCAGTATTTCTGCTATAGGGCGGTAGGGAAGCGGTTAACCTATTAATAAAACTGAACGCCAGAATAAGCAAATGTTGAAATACAAGAGGTATGTGTATTTTTACTTGACACTTGGTGTTCTTTGTGTATTTCTTCCAGGTCTGTGCAGCAATCCAGTGTGAATCTTTGCCTCTGTACAGAAGCTTTATGTAATAAAGACCAGTCACTGTTGCTGTCCTTGTGCAGTGTGACTGGTCTGGTCTCCACCCCTCCCTGCGGTTTTCTGCAGGCAGCCTGTAGTGGGTGGGGCCTGCAGGGCCCCTCCCACAGCTCTGCACAGGCCCATGTACATCACAGTGATGCTACTTCTACAAGGCGACAGCTGGGTGCACACAAAAAGTCGTTTTATATCCTTTGTGGCTACTGAAGAACACATTTAAATAAAGGTTTTTGTGCCCAGAGATTAGCTCAAACCTTTCCTTAACTCCCTCCTCCTGTTAGGCATTTTCATACCAATTTACTCTTTTACCCACTATGTTATAAAGAAGAAAAAAAAAGAAAAAAAAAGAAAATGTATACTACTCAAAACCAAAAAGAACTGCACTGCCTGCAGCTCACAAAGTGGGCTAAGATGGCATCAGTTGAGGAGTGAACTTCCTCCACCTAAAACTTGGAGAACATATGAACAGAAGACCAGGTGGCAGCCTTTACTGGATCTGTGAACATTTCTTGGGCTTTTCGGCATCCAGCCACTATTACTCAGATTTGTAGAATATGACTTGACAGGACTGAGTGGACACATACAATTGACAGATGGTCTGAGTCACCGAAAAATGGTGGAACGAGAAACAGAATACCCTTTACAGGGACCATCAGAAATAAGAAACTGAAAACCAGTCTATCTAGCAGTAGCTGTAAGGTAGACATGCAAAGTAGGAACTACATCAAGAAAATAAAAGGGAAATACAGCCGGACAAAGAAGGATGAAAAAAAAAAAAAGTCCTGGTTTCGGTGAAAGAGAGATGGAGGCATTTTTAAAGCGCTGAGAGAACCAGATTTTGTTCCCATGGGGCATTTCGGTGATCCGAATCTGTGACTTCTACACTAGAAAAAGGCATGGAAGTCCACATTCTGCGAGGTCTAAATGCTTTTGATCCCATTCTTTGTCTAAGGCTCTTGTACCGAGAATCTCGTCGCTCATCCTGGGTCTAGTACTGCTGGAAAATTCAAACTAGCCAAAGTTCCAGAACATAAATAAGGATTGAAGGTTCCTTTTGATGTCAGATTCCCTTGTGATGACAGGGTGTCCAGGACTACATCCCAGCCTGAAAAACTGGCATCCATTATTAAGATCTTCCAGGAAATTGGAAGAAAGGACTCTCTGAACTCCAGCACAGTATTCCTAAGCTACAAGGCCAGGGACAACCTTGGTCTTTGGGGTTAGGTAAATTGATCCATCCAAGGGCTGAACAACATAAAATTACTCCAGAAAAGAAAGAAAAAAAAAAAAGGGAACAAGAGCGCAGTACACTGCCAGCTGAAGGAATGTAAGCAACTGTCACCCATTTAAATTGGTCAGTAGAACTATATACTAGTGACATGGCCACCAGAGAGCCATGAAATGTGTTCTTTTTTAAAATCTGCTTTCACAATCAATACATAACTTTATGGTTATACAAAATGAAATTTTCTTTCCACATGGGTGCCTCTGCTGAGCACACTTTTGGTTCCTTTTTGGGGCCCTATCTTCCATACCCAGGATGGCAGAATGTTATGTTAAAGGGGTCTGAAGCAGATCTGGGCAAATGGGATTGCTTCTACAGGAGGCCAACATCAGCCCCAGACCTCTCAACCAGAAGCAAAGAGCTGAGTGACTCCTGGACGGAAATCCATTCTGAGAGTGTAGAGTTTGAAGCTTCTCCTTAGGAAGAAAACTCTAGCTTGACCAGTGTTTAGAATGAGACCTAGGTATTCCATGTGATGAGTTGGCTACAGTGCAGACTTGAAGGTTCAGGATCCAGACAAACCTTCAATCAACATTGTTGGCAAAGATTTGTACCAACTGCTCGTTCAACAGGAAATCATCCAGATATCCAACAATGGGGATTGCTCTGGAAGTGCAGCAAGGCTAACACAGGGGTCAGTACCTTGATGTACAGTCAAGGTGCAGAAGCTAGACTAAATAGCAGGGCCACAAACTAAAAATGCCATGTCCCACAGAAAAGCAAATTACACTGATGTGCTGGAAAAATAGGGACAAGTATGTCCTTGAAGTCAGAAAGTCTCCCCGATGAGAGGAGGTGATGACAGACCTAGTGGGTTCCGTGCAGAATTTTTGCACTTGAATTAAGACAATCAGACATTGAAATCAATGATGGGGCTGTCGCCCCCTTTTGATTAGGAAACTGGGTGGAGTAGAACCCTTGAAACTGTTCCCACCACAGGTACTGGGGTGTTGAATCCCTGCTCCGGAAGACATGTGAGGGCTGTATGGAGATCTGCTAATCTGTGGGGTGACACAGGCAAGTCGAATGCCATGAACTGAGGAGAGGGATGAGGCAGAATTCTAGTATGTAGACACTAGAAACCACTTGTTTAGTGTCCCAATTTTACCTGAAGATGGCAGTATAAAATCAACAGTCTCTAAACAGCTGTGTCCCTCAATGGGCAATAAAGTAAAGTCTTTTACGCTGTGAAATTACAAAAACAGCAGTGTTGATCTGAAAGTCATTATTTAAAATGTTTTTTTTTTTTGCCCCCATATACACAGCAAGTTTTATAGAAGAGAACATATTTGTGTTTCTAGACAACGAAATACCTGAATAATGCCGTGCCCTTGGGCAAAAACTTCAATGTTTTCAGCTTTCAAAGCAGTATTCTCCAACGCTCTTCTCACTGAATGCACAGTGTAAGGAACACCATTTGCTTTAAGACCTGATAAAACAAAACAAAAAAAAAAAGTATGAACACAGTATTTAAATTTTGCACACAACCACTGAAGGTAAAAGGCATTATGTAAACAAGAGGCACAAGAGATTAATTATGCATTTCACAATCTTCTACTAGAAGTGTGCAAATTATGCTTGCCTGATAATACTAGTGCAATGCCTCCACAAGCATTCGGAGAAGACATGGATGTTCCATTCATTAGCTGAGTACCCCGCAATGTCCAGTTTGGCACGGATGCAATAGCTCCTCCTGGAGCACTAATACTGACTCCAAGAGCTCCATCAGTGCTGATAACATCAAAATAATAATAAAAAAAAAACAAAACACAGAAACCTTATTTATTAAAATGCAATTAATATAACACAATGATTCTTGTACATGTATTACTGTTGGAAATATTACTAAAAAGTTAAAATTAGATAAAGATACAACCCACTGTGACAAAGGGAAACTAAGATTATAGGAATCAGCCAGCATTCAGGCTAATCATATGTCAGTTGTAATGAGAGAGTTGCTCTATTATTTAAAGGATGCCACAGAAGTTTGGCTGTAACGTTCTCATACAAATTTCTTTGAATGCAAATTTCAATTTTCACTGAACACAACCGCTAGGGTCCATTGTAGTATGAACCCAACTACCTTCATATTAAAAGGGAATGTATACCCAAAGCCCATTTTATGGTACGTTAGAAATCTGTATACAGTGAGGCACAAATTTCATAGGCAAATAATTTATTGTGAGATTGTTGCAAAGTTTTTTACCTGGAAATTCTGTCAATAACAGCACGTCCTGTTACAGGACGTCCATGCTAAATCACTGCCTCTCAATAGCAGCAGCATTGTCAGCCTACCCTGTGTGCACCTTTGGCCAACTGAAATGGCTCACATTCAAACATGTGAAACTTTAACCTAAAATCACTTACTTTGCCATAGAACAATCTATGACTCCCTAAGACTAGTACAGATCTTAGATAAAAACATACCTAGGACCTCTTGAAGACCATGTGTACTGATTGGCAGGAAGTTTTTCACGTAGGGAATATTCTGCAACCATCATGTCCGGCGAAACATAGGCACCCACACCTATTAGGTAACAGGAACACAATACTAAGATTTTCCAGCCTTCTTAGAGTATTATGTAACAGGGTCAATCATCACAAAACATTGACAGAAGCACCAAAGTAGAAATAAAAGACAGGGAGGTCAATTCACCAACCCATGTATCATTTACAGTAGCGACCATTATTTTCACCCATGCAGCTGTTTTTCAGCTTGCTGCCTGCATCAGCTGAAACTGGTTTGAGTAATTTAATATTGCTTTGTCATTGAACATAAAGAGGAATAAATTTTAATTGATTTGATGGCTGTGGAAGTAGAACTCCACAACAGATAACGGTTCTAACAGCCATGTAAAACTGTAACACTGTAAATCAGTGAACATTCTATGTACTGCATGTGCATTCTGGAGTGCTTCAGCATGAGTCCATTAGCATTTACAGTACTTATTGTTGATGTTGAATTTTAAATGAATGAGTGTTACTAGAACACAACAGTATGACGTCAGCCTAAGAGTATTACATTCCTACCTCTTTCCCTGTCCTAGGAATTAGCACTGCATTTGTATTTTGGGTTAAAGTCTTAAAAAATTTTTTTGGGGTGAGAAATGGGGGCCACAATTTAAAAAAAGCATTGCTGTTTTCCTGAAAAATCACCAACTTACCAATGACACTGGAGGTAGTTCCACCTGGACAGCCAACAGTGGAAAGACATGGACCATTATTTCCAGCACTTGACACATAAATGATGTTATGCTTCCACACTGCTTCATTTATTGCCTCACATACTCTCCTGTATAATGACAAATTAGGTGAGAGAAGCGATTGTACATTTATAACATGCAACCTATTCAAAATTTCTGAAGGGACTGCATACTCAAATAGCCAAGCAACTTAGGTTCAAATATCTCCTTTTCAAATGACTGACAGTCTTCCTTGGCTCCTTAGCCAGCAGCTTAGCATCCAGAATTAACTGAATTTGCTGAAATGTGAGTGTGGGTTGCTTCTGAAAGCACAACCCAGTACAGCAAAAGTAATCATCCGGACAATGACTATCACATGCACATGCAAGTACTGTGACAGCAACACAGGCAACCATGGGTGTCGCAGCTGATTATAAATAGCCATGAAGCATGGAGTAGGGAATATATTAAGCCATGTGTGACTAGCCTAAAGGCGAAATCCACAAAAAAAAAAAAAAAAAAAAAAAAAAAAAAAAAAAAATTAAACATACATACATACATATATTAAATCCACTTTTTTTTGCAGGTAAAAAAACTGCTTTTACTTTTTCCTTTTTTTTTGTAGGAGCCTGGAAAGCACAGCACTCTCAACCAGATCGCAGGTGCAATGCAGCGCTCCTGCAGAGTGTAAGCTGCAAGGCTGTCGGTACTTGTAGTCCATGCATTCACAGAACGGATTCACGTTAAGCAGTGAGCAGCTGCAGTGGTTGGAACATGTTACATGTTCCACCCTAAAAATGAGTGAAACGTAACATATTCCCAAAGGTGAACTTATCCGTTAACATAGCATATAATTAACTGCCTTCTGAAAGAGCAGCAGTCATAATTTTACCAAATCCTTCACTGTGGTCAACCTTCATCACAGCCAAAGTTTCTGCATGCACTGATTTTATCCATGATGCTTAGGCTTGTCAGAAACATACCCAGAATTCGGCCAGTGTGTTGCTTCACCATAACTGTAATTGACCAGGTCACATTTATACTTTATTGCTTCAATCATCTGTGAAAGAGAAAAAAAAAAAAAAAATGTTGCAGTACAAAAGGAGTACCAGACACACAAAAAGAATAAGTCAGTTAGTTGTAACCCCCCAGGGAAAGCTGTATCACACCATTAAAAAAAACCTTAAAAAGCAAATAATGAGTTGCAAAGTCCTAGCAATCAAAAAAGCAATACTGAGCAGTTTGAGTACTAAAAAGGAAACAAATGAAAGACTACTACTAAAAAATTCCTGATAAGGCTGTGTATAAGTGAAAAAATAGGGTAACTATTTGGCAGCCAGGGGGCTGGGCAGGTTCAATATACACTCACTGGCTACTTTTTTCGGTACATCTGTTCAATCTCTCTCTCTCTCTACTCCTCGCCTCACCCCCTCTGTCTCCGCCCGAATCACAAACCTACTAAACGACATAACAGACTGGATGTCGCTCCACTTCCTTAAACTGAACCTCTACAAAACCGAGCTCCTAGTCTTCCCCCCTGCCCCCCAGACCACCCCCCACTGACTTCTCCATCACGTCCAACAATGCCACTATCAGGCCCACCCCGCAGGCCAGAGTACTTGGTGTCATTCTGGACTCCAACCTATCCTTCCAGCCCCAAGTCCAATCACTAACAAACTCATACAGACTCCACCTCCGCAACATCGCCAAAATCCGCATGTTCCTAACCCCAGAAACTACTAAGCAGCTCATCCACTCCCTCATCATATCACGACTCGACTACTGCAACTCCCTCCTCACTGGCCTGCCTCACCACAGGCTATCCCTGCTTCAGTTGATCCTGAACACGCCATCCTGAACACGGCAGCCAGACTCATTCACCTCACCAACCGCTCCGTTTCCGCCACCCCCCTCTGCCAATCCCTCTACTGGCTTCCGATTGCACAATGGATCAAATTCAAAATCCTAACACTGACATACAAAGCTGTCCATCACACTGCCCCAAACTACATCACCGACCTAATATCCAAGTACCACCTAAGACGCACACTCCGCTCCTCTCAAGACCTCCTTCTCTCTAGTTCCCTGGTCTCCTCCTCCCATGCCCGCCTCCAGGATTTCTCCAGTACATAACCTATCCTCTGGAACTCCCTGCCCCAATCCATCAGACTATCACCTACTCTCCTCTCATTTAGGCGCATCCTGAATACCCACCTCTTCAGGGAAGCCTACCCCACCCCCCGCTAATTGCCGACCTCCTCCACTCTTCCTACCACTCCATTCCCCACAGCTATCTCCTCCTGTGCCACTATCCCCTCCCTCCTAGATTGTAAGCTCGAAAGAGCAGGGCCCTCGAACCCCTCGTGTATCACATTGTATTGTTTTCGTACTGTCGCATGTTCTGTCTCCCTTTGTAATGTACAGCGCTGAGCGAACCGTTGTCACTTTATAAATACTGTATAATAATAATATAATAATTGCTTGGTAGCACAAATTCTAATCAGCCAATCACATGGCAGCAACTCAATGCTTTTAGACATCTAGATGTGGTGAAGACGACTTGCTGAAGTTGAAACTGAGCATCAGAATGGGTAAGAAAGGGGTTTTAAATGACTTGGAACATGGCATGGTTGTTTGCGCCAGATGGGCTGGTATGAATATTTCAAAAACTGCTGATCTACTGGGATTTTCACACACACAACCATCTCTAGGGTTTACAGAGAATGGTAGTTGTGTGGACGAAAATGCAAAACACATTAAAATGGACATCAAAACAACACAATGCATAACCCCCCCCCCCCCCCCCCCCCAATGTCTGTCAATGTGCAATAGAGGTGGTAGGAATCCAGGGTATACCTAAAGTAGTCAACAAATACTATAAACATGCAAAAATGTGGTTCTCATATGTCCTAGCCATTTGGCTCTTGGTAAGAAAGTCTCGCCCATGCAGAAACAGGCTATCAGCAGAGATATTCTTGAATAACCTTATGTGGCCATCATCCTAGTACGGACAGCAGTGAGCCAAATACTTCTGCTAGACTTGTCATCCTACCAGAACTGTTGCTATACCACTGTGTAATCATTTGTGAAGCTCTGCTGTGAGTGATTTTTAACAAAACATTTGAATAAAAGTAATATAGTTCATGTTTGTCAACACCAAGGGCCAAATTCATCTAAGTTTTAATTACCATACATTTTTGCACCTTCAAACTGCAGTGTATACAGAAGTTCTGTACCACTGTTTTGAAGTTATTTTATAAAAATCCTGTTTTCTTGCAATTTAGGTACAGTGTCCAGCAAGTGCACCATACAGACTAACAGCACCACACCCTATATTCATGTTATGTAGGGTTTTGATAAATTTCACCCAGAACGGTTTTAAAAACCTAGGGGCCACCACTACACAGCCTTTAAATAATTATATACAGTTGCAAGAAAAAGTATGTGAACCCCTTGGGATTATGTGGAGTTTTGCATGAATTGGGCATAAAATGTGCTCTGAACATCATCTAAGTCACAACAATAAAAGAACACAGTGTGCTGAACATAATACTACACAAACATTAGATGTTGCCATGGTTTAATACTACACAAACATTAGATGTTGCCATGGTTTAATTGCACATAACATGTAAATATTCACAGTGCAGGGAGGAAAAAGTATGTGAGGCCCTAGCTTAATGACTTCTCCCAGAGCTAATTGGAGCCAGGAGTGAGCCAACCTTGACTCCAATCAGTATGATATTGGATGTGTTGCTGACAGCTGTCCTGCCCTTAAAAAACACACACCTGTTTTGGGTTTACTGGTTTCAAGAAGCACTGTCTGATGTGAACCATGCCTCGCAGAAAAAAAAAAGCTCTCAGAAGACCTACGATCAAGAATTGTTGACTTGCATGAAGCTGGAAAGGGTTACAAAAGTATCTCCAAAAGCCTTGATGTTCATGTGTCCACGGTAAGACAGACTGTCTACAAATGGAGAAAGTTTAGCACTGTTGCTACTCTCCCTAGGCGTGGTCGTCCTGTAAAAATGACTGCAAGAGCACAGCGCAGAATGCTGCATGAGGTAAAGAAGAATCCCAGAGTGTCAGCTAAAGACCTACAAAAATCTCTGGCACATGCTAACATTTTTGTTGACACATCTACAATAAGGAAAACATTAAACAAGAATGGAGTACATGGGAGGACACCACGGAGGAAGCCATTGCTGTCCAAAAAGAATATTGCAGCACGTTTGAAGTTTGCAAAAGAGCACCTGAATGTTCCACAGCACTACTGGCAAAATATACTGTGGACAGATGAAACCAAGATTGAGTTGTTTGGGAAGAACACACAACACTATGTGTGGAGAAAAAAAGGCACAGCACACCAACATCAAAACCTCATCCCCACTGTAAAACATGGCGGAGGGAGCATTGTGGTTTGGGGCTGCTTTGCTGCCTCAGGGCCTGGACGGATTGTTGTTATTGATGGGAAAATGAATTCCAGAGTTTATCAAGACATTTTGCAGGAAAACGTACGACCATCTGTCCGCCAACTGAAGCTCCGCAGAGGATGGGTGATGCAACAGGACAATGACCCAAAGCATACAATTAATTCAACAAAACAATGGCTGCAACAGCACAGAATACGCCTTCTGGAGTGGCCCAGTTAGAGTCCTGACCTCAACCCGATTGAAATGTTGTGGCATGACCTTAAGAGAGCGATTCACACCAGACATCCCAAGAATATTGCTACACTGAAAAAGTTTTGTGAAGAGGAGTGGTCCAAAATTACTCCAGATCGTTGTGCAGGTCTGATCTGCAACTACAGGAAACGTTTGGTTGAGGTTATTGCTGCCAAAGGAGGGTCAACCAGTTATTAAGTCCAAAGGTTCACATACTTTTTCCTCCCTGCACTGTGAATGTTTACATGTTATGTGCAATTAAACCATGGCAACATCTAATGTTTGTGTAGTATTATGTTCAGCAGACTGTGTTCTATTGTTGTGACTTAGATGACAATCAGAGCACATTTTATGACCAATTCATGTAAAACTCCACGTAATCCCAAGGGGTTCACATACTTTTTCTTGCAACTGTATGTAGCTGAAAGATATATAGCTAAAGTGAAAATATTTTTTTTACCTTAATACATTCTCTGCATTAAAGGCAAAAGGATTCCCCACTACTCGTCCTATCCACCCCCATCTAAAACACTTACCCAACTCCTCTCCCACCTCCAGCACTGTCCCAGCTGCAGCAATGCTCCTCCCACTTCCTGGTCTCACAAAAGATACTTACAGCATCGGGAGCTGTGGGCTCCTCCTGCTGCTGTCAAAATCTTGTGAGGAGGTAACAGTGGCCTGGCTTACCGGCACTGTGTGTGTCTATAGACACAGTCTGGCTTGGGAGCGCATGTGCACAGGTGCCCCTTAGCACCTGGCTTGCGAAAGGGGGCACTCGCAAGAAGAAGCAATCAATGCTGCCAAAGAGGAGGTAAAGGAACACTCTGTGCAATATTGTTGGACAGCGCAGGTAAGTATAAAAAAAAATTAAAAAGACAAATTACTTCACAGCTAATAGACTCTAAAAATTGTGGGAGTCGGATTAGAAAGGTGCAAACTGTAAATACCTGCAGCAAGAAAGACATGTAACTGAACTCACAGCTGACCATATAAACTCAGCTTACATGAAATAAGATCAGACCTGCTTGAAAAAGTAAATACACATTTGCAGAATAGGGTATAAAGCAGACAATCATGGTACCGTGGCAGAGTACTCCTCCTAATCAGATGTCAGACACGTGTTTTTACATAACATAAGACTTCTTAAAGCACAAGTCTAAGGAAGTAATTTTTCTCTTACTCACTAACCAAAAAACACCAAATTCTTTCTGATCCTATGCTCTGTTCCTGACCAGGTCTGTGCAAGCAGACACTGAAAGAATGTATTTAGGGATGAGGAACTGCCATGAACCAGACCCCATCAGCTGTGAAGGAAAGAAAAAGGAGCTCTAGAGGGACATGGCCCAACATTTCCATCCACTGCACTGAGCAACTCCAGCAGGGAAGAGCAGTAAACAAAAAAAGTGCTGGTGATTAGCAGTGGAAAAACTAGTAAACATGGAGCCAGATTTCTTTAGCAGTTCTCCCACCCAGGACACCAACCTCCTCCTACTCCTGTGCAGCTCCAATATGTCCACACTTCCATCAGCACAGCTCTGCCACACTTCAGACATGGGGGACAGGTAGAAAAGCAAGGGCCGGAGAGGTCAGCAGGTATGCCTTGTCAACACCACAGATCCTGCCAGGGGAATTTGGCATAAGAGGGGGCTACTCAGCATGAATGCAGGCCGTCATGGGTGGTAGAAGGCAGAAAAGGGCAGAGCAAGGCTTCTGGGGTGCAACACCCCTAATGACCAGAGCTTGCTTAATGGAAATGGTCATGAACAAAGTAGAGCTTATTTTAGACTCCCAATACAAAGTTATATGCCATACCGCTCTAATAAGTCCTGTGCCAGTCTCCATTGTGCTGAGCCTAGTATCACCGATCTTTATAGCTAGGATCTGGGCCCCTGGAGCTACACCATTTCTTTCAGGTTCATCAGGAAAATAACCAGCAGCAATACTAGCCACATGTGTTCCGTGAGCACCTGTAATATACACACAAATATTACAATTACCAACATTACATTTATATAAAGAATAAGAGTCATCTGAAGAATCTAAAAGATTTAGTGAAAGCTCAGCATTGAGTGTACAAGCTGCTAAGTATACTGTCATCTTAGTTTATTTGTTTCAGGTACTTATATAGAGCTGACAATTTACAAAATGTTATATACATATAATCACATTTACAAAAGTCCCTGCCCTCAAGAAGCTTACATTCTAAGGTCCCTAACTCACATTCAATCATAATGGCTCACTGTGCCAGTGTGAACTTAAACCGTAAAGTGGGAAGCAGCATTTAAGCTGTGCCATTGCAGGATGGCAAATACAAGATCAGCAGTATTTACAGAATTAATGTCAAGTTAGGATTTTACTAAAATAATAAGTCTGACATGCTATACAAACAACTCAACTTCACAGTAGTGACTTTTGTACAATGCACCCTCTGGCATAAACAAGTCAAAGAAAAAAAAAATTAAGCCATAGCAGTCACATCAGTGGCAGTAAAAACAGTCTAGACAAGAATATCAAAATTGAGACCTTACCTCCACTTGTTACAATAGACAGCAAATTCCCTTCATCATAAATGTTCACTGAGTAGTTTAGCATTTCTGATGTACCAAATGATGCATATTCTTGTATTTCTCTGTAACTCCCTAACACAGTGCAAGCTTCAAGATCCCCACATTCACTTGTGTCCATGCAGGCACTAGAAGGAAAAAATAAAATACCCAAATTCAGAAATTCTTATCTCTGAAACCTAAATGTATTATGGGATCTTAAACAAAAATTACATATTATCCTATAGTGGGAGGACAAGCAAATGATCAACTTTTTTTTTGGTCATATATACATTGTATCATATGTCACATTTATAAAACCCACTTAGTATCCAGGTTTTATGTTGCATTGCCCAGCTAAAATCACATTTACTGGCACCCAGATTTTCCCATCCGAGCTACAGTAACCTTCAACATATTTAGATTTGTCAGCCACAATCATTTGTTTTCAAATAGCCAACTGATTTTTCAGTGATCCACTAGGTCCCTCTAGGGACTTACCGCCACGTTTCCCCATCATGCCACACCAAACAGTCGTACACTGGACCCGGGTCACTATACTTCTTCTCAAATGAGTTTAGCAGTTCTACTTGATTTTGAACATCTTCCTTGATCAGTTTTCCCATCTATAGGAAAAAAAAAAAAAAAGTTGATCTCAATATAAAGTAAAAAAAATTCACAGCTCTAAAACAGGCGTGTGTACCAGAAAACATGGTTGTGCAATTAAAGTGGAAATAATGCTATCCTGCCTTAAATGAGCAAAAAAACCCCCCAAAAAACAAACAACAAAAAAAATAATCACTGTACACTAACCAACTTTAATCCGCCCTGGTCCGGTCACATGATCCCACAGCCCTGTGTCAGTGAGTGGCTGCTGCAGGGAAGAGGAGGTTGCGCTGACAACAGTTGGACATGAGAGAGTATGGCTGAGGTCAAGGCTCCCTGAATTCTTGGCTGTTGCGGAGAGCTCCCTCACACAGTGGAGCTGCAGGATCAGGTGACTGGACTAAGATAGAGTATACAGATCTTTCTTACACCGGATAGGCAACATAAGCAGCAGGAAGGGGAGGGAACATTTTTAGGCATAGTTAGTGTTAGGCTGGAATTCCACTTTAAAAAGGTCCATTACTCATAGGCCTTTTGGGGTATTTAAGGTCCTTAGCACAACTGCATTCTCCAAAAAAATTCTGCTGGACACCTTTTTAAGCAATAAACAAGCATCCACTTACTTAGACTTAGATATTTTCAGCGCTGAGAGAACCGTCAGTTAGTGGAAGGATCACTAAACATTTGGGTAGCCCAAGCTAATGTAGGAACATGCCATTATATTTCAGTATAATAAATGTAACTGGCCCAAAGACCTATTCTGAAAACAATTATTCAGGTACACTTCAAAAGTGCACGTTACGCTTAGCAATTTTCAATATGCTGGTTTACCTATGCATTAAAAAAATGCACAAAAAAATTTGGATTAAGTAGAATACTAAATCACAATGAGTATGAGCTACATTTAGTTATCAGAATAAGGACTCTCTAAGGTGTTCAAAATGAAAAAAAGCACACACTTTTGAATACGGAATTAAAAACGTATCCTATAAGTGAACCTGGGCTTAATCCATGCAGAGCAATGCAACAAGCCCACATTGATGAAAAACTCACACAGCAGCACATATTTACCTTCCTTCCACTCACTTGCTGCTGCCGTGTTCTGCCCCAGGAACAAAATAGATTCTGTGTAAACAATGAGTTATAGCTTACACAGGTCTAAGGTCTGCATGGTGCAGACTTTAGCTGTGATCGGTTGCTTGATTACGGTTTCAAAAGCAGGTCCGAGAACATAATCAAGCAACTGATGGCCAGACTGCATAGCTAAACTCTACACAATGCAGTGTCAGCTCCCTCCATGAAACACGCTCATCTAAGGAGTTTCCTGTGATGTTTTCTCACAGTTTTGCAGTCAGCAGGAAGTTGATGTATCACCTTCATTGCTGACTGTTATGAAGAGCTGAAAATGCTGAAAAAAAACAGCTGCAATTACTGGGATGGGCTGGATAGGCACACATTTTCAAAGTAAGAAAAATATTTTAGTACTAAAACATTTTGATTCAGCAGTTCATGCTCTTTATTAATAATTAATTTAGTGAATATAATAATAATAATAATATTTAGTGCAGCGCTACAACATCAAAGACAATATACTTAATACTTGAATAAGTGATATGAGATTAAATAAATCCATAAATGTATAAAACATGCAAAAACCCCCAAAAAAAAACAATAATATGGTGATAAGATCAATGCGGATCTATTTAGTGCCAAACAACACTAAAAGTGCCCAGTAATGTGTAGTGAGGTCCTCTCCACGGCCTCTTAAAGTGCAATCAGATAACTCAACATAAGTGGCCAATAATCTCTACTAAAAAATAAATAAATTATATATTTTTAATTCTTATCAAACAACCCCTGAACACCCCTGCAAATGTAGGATATCTGTGAATCCCCTAATATAGGGGAATAAATACCACACAAAGTGACCCATGCTTATATCAATATATAAAAGAAAAATATATATAAATGCAGTGACCAATTCATGAAAACATAAAAATAAAAAAAATATAAAAATAAAAATCTCTAAATGTCCAACAATCTTATATGAATTGTGCTCCAATAAAATTCAGAGTGATACAGTGATCATGTGTTCACACCAGCTTCACGAATCCTCAGTGGGCTAAAATGCCCCCTCACACCTCCTTTTAGCGACCCACTGGGCCACCTTACTTTCAGGATCACCCCAGGATCCTTCACAGGCAGTATCTGGTTACTGGATGGTATCCAACCATAATCCCCCTCTCTGGTGGCACTTAGGCTTCTCCAGTCCTCTCCCAATATAAATTTCTGCTACATAGTAAACTCTGATAAAATTTAAAATCTTAAAATAAAACCACACTTTGCTCCTTCAGCTTCTGGCCCATTACAGGGTATCTGGACTACATTAAAGACAATTTCTTCAGACCTGTATTCTGATATCGGAAAACAACCTAATCCAGTCAGGCAGGAAAATTGCTTAGCACTATCATATTGTTTTGTTTTTTTTTTGTTTTTGCATGTTTTATACGTTTATGGATTTATTTATCTCATATCACTTCTTCAAGTATTAAGTATATTGTATTTGATGTTGTAGCGCTGCACTATTATGATTATATTGCACAAGCTTGAAAGGTATTAACTAGAGTGTTGGCCACTGTAGTACACACTGATCACTCCAAATAAACACAGGAGGAATTTTTTAGTTGGTTTTAATTTAGTGAATATGACGTTAGCACTCCTTTAAGAAAAGGAAACAATGTATGCCAACTCTGTAGCAAGTGTTCTGTTGTTGTTTTTGACATTATTGTAGGTTAGCACAGCATATCAGTAGCTGGCTCTAGCAGTTAAAAGTTACAGTGGCATGCTGAAGGATTTTACAGATCTGAAATCCCAGAATAAGGTAAATAATATTGCTTAGTATAGTAAGCAATAGCCTTTGGCAGACAACTGCTCTAATAAGCTACAACACATTACCACATCATACAGGCTTCTATCACTCAAGTTTATTTCCGACCTGGGTTTGACTGCTAGAGCCTGTGTCAATCTCCTCCTGCTTCCTGCATGCCTCTGCTAGTATGGCTCGATGGGTGGGATCCCACAACTTCTCTTTTCGCTCTTTCTAGAACAGCAAAAAACAAAAGTTCATGTAACAATGTCAAACAATAAATACTGCCAAACATAAAATTTCAAATCACAATAATAAAATCCAATTCTACTAAGGTTATGTGTATTTATTGTTTATGGTTGTAACACTTGAGAAATTAAAGAAAAAAAAAAAAAAAAGTGTGCTAGTATCAAATGGATTTAAGGCACCAACTGTTTAACTTTAGCACTAGAGCAGTTTTTCATTTTTTGCACATGCAGAAGTGCAAATATCTGAATTTTTGGCTATAATATTTACCTTAAACCCACAGAACATGATATATTTTATTTTCTAAAAGCAGAGGCCCTGCAGGGTAAAAAAGACAGCTGCTGCAATTTTTTTATGACGCATGATATTTGCGCAACTGTTTACTAAGCACAATTTCAGGAGAAATATAAAAAATGTTTTGGTAAAATATTTTTAATAAATGAGGTTGCATGAAGTATATAGATACCAAACATGTACCCAAAAATCTAAATAGGTGAGGCTTTAAAAGCTTTTACAGCTCATCAATTTAGAGTCAAGTGTGAGATATGGTGCTAGGGTTATTGCTCTCACTCTGACATTTGCCTCACATGTGTCATGATGTGATGGTATTAGGCAGATGACAAGTACTATTTATGGAGACACTGGGGGTCCAAACGGCTCCCCTGCCTTCCAAAGTAACTACCCGAGCAGAGATCTGCTCTATTAGATGTATCCCTGGCTGTATCAGTTAGAGAATGACGGCTCTAAAACCAAAGTGAAGAAAGCATTGTTGCCTCCGACTTCATTCCAGGCAGAGGAGATCATAGAATGGATGTTCCTCTATCTTCCATGGCCCTCTGTTTTGAAGTCCTCCAATGTTTGTGATCATGGTCTCTCGATAAGGGCCAACGTTGGTGAACAACGTGGGTGGAGGAATTGCACCATCCACCCTGTGAAAATGATCAGTGGCTATACAGCTGCCAGATCACTTCCACTTTGAAGCTTGGCACAAGCTCTTAACTGCTGCTGCAGCTTGTGCTTAACCCTTCACTCTTTTGGACATACATGGTATGCCCAAGAGCAACTAGTTAAAGAAAAAGTCTGGCCAAAAGATAAAAAAGCTTTTTAAATCTCCCAGGGAAACCAGTGACAATCACAATGTGCAGAGGTTGCTCAGCAGTGCTGCTGGATAGCGGCTATCTGACCACACTGGAAGGAGATGGAGCTACCGCTGACAGTCCCTCCTTCTGTGAAAGCTGCCAGACGAGAGGGGGAAAATCTGCAGGTCTGCCATCTCATAGTAAAGCCCTGTGCCTCCTATGATTGTGTGTGAGCACAAACCAAAAACGCCTACCCACCAGACAGCAGCCTGCTATTTCAGATCAGAGGAGAGAGAGCAAAATTGTAAAATGTTAGTCGCTTGTGTTGTTGTGAATGGCCACGCTGAACAACAGGGTCACAAAAACACAAGCCCATAACAATCTATACCAGCTACTACAATAGACTAGTGCTGTGTTAAGAGTAGCACCTGGATGAAAGTAAAAAGGTGCTGGACGCCACCTGCACCAGTTCCAAGTTAGTGTCTGCTGTTAATTTGGACAGTGACCACCTAACATGGCACTGTTGTGAAATTATAGTGTTTTCCTAAAAAAACTCTTTTTACCTTCGGACTATTTACCACCTTTGTGTTTTGTTGCATTGTTGCCTGAAATAAATGGAAACATGTCAAAGTACAAGTCAACGCATGTCGACTGTTGTTACTCCAGTCACAAACAGAAAATATCCCTGGTTATGAAGATGTTAATGTATAAATTTAAGGCCACTGTTTTGTTTTTACGATAGAAGTGTTTTGAAATTACTATTTTTCACATTACCTGCAGTCGCTCTTTGAGGGCCTTTGGATAAAAGTCAAATCCATTTTTTACACCAATATGATATCTGCCTGAAGGATTTTTCCAGCTTGTGGGAATCTACAAGAGGGAAACACATGGCTAGCAATCTTCTACGAAAACAACCAAATATAATGCTACAAATTATTACAAAGAACATTATACAGGGGCACCATAGTATAAATTATGGCTCATGGATTACCTAGAGGGCAAAAAAAATAACAATTCAAACAGTCTGCTTATTTAATGTCAGAAGAATACCAGCTATAAATAGGATTATTAACGCTGTTCTACAATAGATGCAGCATTTCTCAAAGTAAACCCAGGAAGCTCTGAGTCAGGATAAGACATCAAGGATGTCTATGCTGCTCACAGCAAACTATGCTTTAGCTGCATTGCATTTGCTGAAAGAGTTTCAGTTCTGCACATACTACACCGAATATGTTCCCTGAATGCAACACAATCAATGTTTACTGACAGCTGCAGCAAGGATAAACATCAATAATGTCTGACCCTGCCTATAAGACATGTAGTGAATGAGCTGTAAAAGCAACTTGCTGAATTTAAGATGTTAAGGCCTACAATATATATGATTAGGAAATGCTTTGCGGATCTGAACTCAATGAGTGAATACCACATCCCACTGTGTTAAAAATAAAGAGGTAAACCTTGAACTGGATACATTATGTAAATCTCTGCTGTTAACACAGACCGTTTGATGGTGTAACTTTTTTTTTTGCTGACAAGCTGGTAGGTGTGCTGAGACACACACTGGGGAGGAACCCCGAGCAGCTGTACATAGTAACCAATCAGCTACTAGCTTCAGCTTGCTCAATTAAGCTTTGAAATAAAAGCTAAAAACGGATTGGTTGCCATGGACAGCTGATGCAGATTCTGTTTGCTCCAGTCTTAGTAAATTCCCTATTTGTCTTTTTTGTGCTGTGCCAAGTCCTTCCATGTGCACCTTGCTCTAGGGACCTGTTTCCACCAGAACACGATACAGGAAATGCAAGCACTGCACAGCGCTGGAATGCATTGTTTTTACGATCTGCTGAGGGTGCAAATGAAATGTTAATGGCACCTCAAATGCGATTTCAAATGTAGTGCCTATGTGAGCACCAAATCACATGGTAACTCAGTACCATGCAATTTGGTGCAAGGTGTTTTTAAAAAGTAGTGAATGCACTGGATCGATCTACAGCCCATTCAAAAAATTAGGCTGTCTTCCTGGTAGCTTGGAAAACAGTGGCTAGGGCAGGGCACCAGGCATTTCTTAACTTTGCTGAGGTCAAACAGCATCCTATGGGAACCATGGTTCACAAGAAACTCACATCTACCCTTAAATATACCCACGTCAAGCTCCTGAAGATCTGGGACTCGTGGATAGTCTTCCACCAGTCACTTAGGCCTGGACCGTTCCTTGCTTTCTATATGACTACCTGCACAGTTTGCTCAGAGTAGGGCAGTGAAATGGATCTCATGCAGGCATGTATTTCTAACCCCCCCACCCCCTTCCATAGGTAAGTCTTTCCTCTTCTTCCATTTTCCTTCTATTCTTCCCCTCATGAGCTGTGATAGACAATAGGCAGCGGTTTCTCCTCTTTCTTTCCTTTTTGCCTGCTACTAAACTCCTCCCCTGGACGTTGGCACCCTTCTTGTCTTTTATTTGTGTCATGGCAAGAATTTTTGGGTATATTTTCCTACTGGATGATCTTCAGTATTGGGTCTTCCTTGGATCTGTTTGCTTATCAATCTCTTTTCCCCCAGTATAGTCTTATGATGTAATGTTTTTGGATCTAGATGGATTGTTACCCTGTACTTGCTTCTGTTATACTATGCTTTTGTTCTGTGCAATGTTTTTTATGCTCTCTCATACCTTTTAAAAACCCAATAAATTCTTTGTAAAGTAGAAAGTTTGGCTGCAGAATTGCACAGAAACCTGGCAAGTGTTCCTGTGTGATTCAGGTGTGAACTGGTACTAAAAGAGCTAGTTATAAGTTGGAGTGGTTGCCATTTTTGTTTAGTTTGTTGGAATTGGTTAGGGGACACATTGGATACATTTGGCTACCATTGAGCGGGGATTCATCAAGACATACCTGCCGTTAATTTATCCATTGCTAAATATGCTCCAAAATGGAGATTCAGACCAGTCAGATACGCACTTTATGGAGGGATCTTAACAAGCAGTGTGGCTTCTACATTTATTTGAAAATATTGTGCATTTAAAAACCTGTATTTAAGTCAGACAATGTAATTTGTTTGCTGGCTGCAGGACGATGCATTTTTTTTTTTGTTGCTGTAGATAAACAGTAGTGTTCTCTTCACATAACACACACACACACACACACACACACACACACACCCCACACCCCCCCCCCCCTCAACCCAGTGGTATACTCTGTCCTCCTCACATCAACCCCACTTCACATCCCTACTCCACAGTACTGTCCTCCACCCCTTCCCCTCCACAGCAATGCCCCCCCCTTTACATCATCCCACAGCACTGCACAATACTGTGCTGTTATTCCACACTTGCTCCAGAAATGTTCTGTCTCCTGCTGTCCACTATGCTGTTATAACAGCAGTGGAGGATGGAGGGAAAAGAAGTGGCTCCTAAATGGTGTGACTGGGTCCAGATGAACATTGGCTAGGTCCGCCATTTAGTTTTGCCTGCTCTAGATTATGTAATAACCTACCAAGCAAATATAGGCACTTGTACACCATCTAAGATAAGTAGCATGGAGCTTTACCTTTAATGTCCTTCCGGAAAGGCCAGCTAAAACACCATCTTTTGGTTCAACCACAGTACTCGTGCATACGTCACCACTTCCAGTTGTATCAATGATATCAATAATCTTGGGTTTCCCGTCTGTTGTTTGCTGAGAGGGAAAAAAAAAAAAATAGTATTAGCGACTTTAGAAAGGAATTTACTGCCACTAGATCACCATAGCTGTTGCTGGTTTGTGTTGAAACTTTATTCTTGTAAAAAACTGGAAATTAGCTCTGACAGATAACAGAATGCCTTAGAATATTCTATACAGGTTCATAATGACCAAGGTCCAGCTACAATTTAAAGGATTAGCTCACCTTTCCAACAAAAAGGTATCATGCATTCAATCTTCCCCACTAAAAAAAAAAAACAAAAACAAAAAAAAAAACAACACACTGCTTAGCTATGAAAAAAGGGAGTTTTTTCCCCCCATGCCATAACTGTAGGCCTATCGCCCAAACAGCCATAAAAATTTCTAGTTGAGTGATTAGATTTCAGGAAAAACCATACGTTAGACATGCACTCCCAGCTACAAATGGTATGGCCAAGGGAGGGAGGGGAGGGAAGGGAGGGGGGGGGGGGGGAGGGAGGGGGGAGGGAGGGGGGGGGGGTGGGGGGGGTGGATGTAAGGAAAAAAATTGGAAACAAATTTTTTTTTTTCCCTATTTTCCAAAGCTGTTTATTTTTTCTGGAAAAACTGGGGAAAAAAAAAAAAAAAAAAAAAAAAAAGGAGTGTGGAATGTGTTCTTTCGATAAGTAATACCATGGTATTCAAACTATATAACATGAAGACCTTAAAGTGCTTCTAAAGGCTCGTGGTTTTTTACCTTCATGCATAGAATGCATGAAGGTAAAAAACCTGTGTGCAGCCTCCTCCAATACTCACCTAAGCCCCCTATCGATCCAGTGATGGGCACTGGAGTCTTGGCTATCCTGGAACTCCCTCTTCTCATTGGCTGTGACAAAAGCGGGAGCCATTGGCTCCCACTGCTGTCAATCACAGCCAGTAAGCCAATGAGAAAAGAGAATGGGCGGTGCCGAGCCACAGGTCCATGTGTGAATGGACACACAGAGCAGCAGGTGTTATGTTCTATGTTGTGCCCATCAGAGTGCCCCTTAACATAAAATAAGGGGCACTCTAATGGGCACGTTATGTTAAGGGGCACTCTGATGAGCACATGTTATGTTGTGCCCATCAGAGTGCCCCTTAACATTCAATCTGCCCATCAGAGTGCCCCTGTAAGTCTACACCCTACCTTGAGGGCAGATAGGAGCTGTGCCAGGATCATTGCTGGACGCTTGTGTACAGGCAGGGAGCAGGAGCGACAGTCAGCTATAGGGGCTGCGGCACACACGATGTCATGTTGCCGTGATGACCGCCCTGCTCAGCAGCAGATCTGTCATTGCGGGCTGGCAGTCCAGGCAGCAGCGCTGCTGAGGCTGTTCGCAGACTGCGCGGTTCACCATTTAGTGACCACTGCTGTAAAGCATTGCAGCAGGGATCAGCAGATCGTGGGTGCAGTGTCAGACTCCTGCAGACTGTCAGTGTAGCTGTCTGCTTGTACCTCTGAGACGGGCAAGCAGTTACTGAATGACAGAAACATCAAAGGATTACCCAAGCGCTCATCAGTGCCATGGTAGTTCACTGAGAACTAGAAATCATCAGCCACAATGGATATTAGTACTTGCTGAACATGTTACACCCCAATGACAATAGCCAGCGATCGAGACCCCAAAGCTGGCAGCCCACAGAGGTCAGAGACCAGGCAGCGAGCTTGGGAACGCCGCATCTAAGGAGCGAAGGCGACTATTGTTCTGCTTTAATTTACAACTTGGAATAAACAGTGTTAACAGCTATTGACTAAGGCTTGTTACTACCTGTTGCCACTGACATGGATATTGAATTTACAGTATATCGCCCAATGCCAGGGACATGTAGTGCCGGGCAAGTCGTTTTTTTTTCAATCTTTAGCCCTGCTGCGGGCAAGCAGCAGGGCTCACCCGTCAGGTGGAAGCATTCGGGCAGCAGGGCTCACCCGTCAGGTGGAAGCATTCGGGCAGCAGGGCTCAAGTCAGGTGGAAGCATTCGGGCAGCAGGGCTCACCCGTCAGGTGGAAGCATTCGGGCAGCAGGGCTCACCCGTCAGGTGGAAGCATTCGGGCAGCAGGGCTCACCCGTCAGGTGGAGCATTCGGCAGCAGGGCTCACCCGTCAGGTGGAAGCATTCGGGCAGCAGGGCTCACCCGTCAGGTGGAAGCATTCGGGCAGCAGGGCTCACCCGTCAGGTGGAAGCATTCGGGCAGCAGCGCTGCCGCTGGTTGCTGCCACACAGTGCCAGTCTCTCTCCCCAGCTATGTCTCCCGGGCTCCGCTTGCCTATTTCAGGGTCCTAGATCGTTTTAAAAATAAAACCGCTGTCAGCTAGAGGGGAGGGAGGAGAATGCACACGTTCGCTCCCCTCCCCTTCTTGCCCTGACCTGGAAGAAGTGACGTTATGTTGTCACTTCCGGGTCCCCGTTGAGAGATTCCCAGTCATGGAGGCCAGGAAAGGATGTAATGCGGTGCAATGTGCACTGCATGACATTCAATGGAGCAGAGGGGAGAGATGTGCAGGGTCTTTTAGACCTTGGATGTCTCAATAAAACAAACTGTCACCAAAATTTTTATTGTAAAAAATAAACGTTACACCCAAGCAAATAACGTCTCCCCCCCCATCCAAAAAAAAATTGAAGTCCCCTGCCTCCACATATACCACGGGTGTGGAAATTTTTTAAAAAACTACTTGTCCACGAACTAAATCGGTGTCCCAATCTACTTGCCCTCATAGCAATCTACTTGTCCTGATAAAAAAAAAAAAATGTTTTTACCCAAAACTGTATTTAAATCTGCTTTAACCCCTTTGCGCCGGCCGCACACAAATGTGCGGCCTCCCGGCGTCTGGGCCTAGACGCCGAGCGGCCGCACATTTGTGTCCATGTAACTAAATACATATGTGCTGAGAGCGCGCGCCCTGCGCGCTCCCAGCACACATGTGTGGTAACGGAAAGGTCCCGGTCCGCTCTTTCGAACGGGACCTTTCCCGATCATGTGACTGCCGTGACGCATCATCACGGCGGTCACATGATTCCTAAGCCACGCCCCAACCGCCCCGCCTCCCGGCGTCTGAATCTCTTAAAGGGCCGGGAGGCATCGGCGGGAAGGGGTTAAGTAATGTCTGGAACTTTTAAAAACAAAAAGGGCTTTATGGCGACTTAAATGTTTAATATTTTTAACATTGCGCTGTTTATCTCCTCCTCCCCTCCCTTCCTCTCTTCAGAACAGCACCCGGGGACTAGTAGGGAGGGGAGAGACCATGCAGTGTAATGAGCACTGATTGGCTGCTCCTCAGGAAAGGGGAGTGTTGGGCTTATCCTTTATCCATTTTGCTGCCAGAGCCATTTTTGAGGTATTTGCACACGTTTAAAAAATAATTTAAGGCCTAAAGATTACACAAAACCTCCAAACATTATATATTTTCTAAAATCAGAGATCCTAGAGAGTAAAATAGCAGTAGTTCCAATTTTTTATGTCACATGATATCACAAAGGTCTAGGAAATGCAAAATTTCAGTAAAAAAATACACTTAAGTTAATTTTAGACCACAAAAAGCAATAAACTATCTAATTTTTATGTAAAAAAATAAAAGATGAGGGAGTAAACAGATATCCAGCATGTCAAACCTTAGAAAAAGGGGAGAGGAGTGGATGTGTCCCTCCCCTATACCACATTCCACCGGCGCACACTGAGCCAGTCCCGGGCCCGCAGATGGGCAAGTGGAGCCTGGAACATATAGTGGGCAGGGGGTGAGGCTGACACTGTGGGCTGTGTGGAAGCAATCAGGCCCAAATACTTCCACCTGACAAATGAGCCCTGTTGTTTGCCCGCAACAGGACTGAGGGCAAAAAAAAAATACCCGATAGGAATTGCACATCCCTGTATACAAACGTAAAATCATACACTGGGGCACGTACGTATGAAAATGTCGACTGCAATACACGTTACATATCACCGCGCACGCTAGGATGAGAGCGATAATTCTAGCTTGAGACCTCCTCCATACACTATACTGATGACCTATAAGGGGCTTTAAAAATGTTGACTATAGAAAATATAGGGTACTGAAGTTCGTCGCCATTTCACGAGTGTGTACAAATTTAAGGTTTGACATGTTGGATATCTATTTACTCGGTGCAAAATTAACTCATTTTTTATATTTTACAAAAAAATAGGGTATTTTATTACTTTTTTTGTGCCCTAAAATTAACTTATTTGTATTTTTTTACAGACGTTTTGCGGTAATATCATGCAACATAAAAAATTGGAACTACCATTATTTTATTCTCTAGGGTCTCTGCTTTCAGAAAATATAACATGTTTGGGGGTTTTATGTAATCTTCAGGCATGTGCTAAAAAAAATGCAAAAACGTCTCTGTCAGCGAAAGGGATAAAGGATAAGTCAGACACTCCCCTTCCTGAGGAGCAGCCAATCGGTGCTCCTTACACTGCAAGGTCTCTCTCTTCCCTGCTAGCCCCGGGTGCAATGCTGGAGAGAGGCAGGAAGGGGAGGAGGAGATAAACAGCGCAATGTAAAAATTATTACACGTTTAAGATGCCATAAAGCCCCTTTTGTTTTTAACCACCTCCTGTCCGGCCGTTGTATATAAAATGGCCGGATGGTGGCAGTGCAGGGGCAGGTGGCTGTTTATAAATGGCCTCCACACCCCCTGCTTGTGCGCGCTCCCTGGGAGCGCGCAGCACCGCGATCCGGTGCCCGCTGTGTCCTTTTGACACAGTGGAACACCGATCGTCGTTCGGGACCTCTGTGCGAGGTCCCGATCATGTGATCACTGATTGGCCAATCAGTGATCACATGCAGAGTAGTAAGCAAGATGTCACTTCTGACATCATTGCTTACTACGTGTGAAATCTGTGAATGATCACAAAGGTCATATGGTACAAGGCTATTCACAACCTTGTACCATGTGACAAGCTGTGACCAATCACAGCCTTTATGGGTGTAAAAGCAATACACTTTAGTGTAAAAAAAAGTCAAAAAAAATTCATCAACCCCCACA